CACATAAATGGGATGGAAAGGATTGCTTTTAAAAGATAAGCATAGACACGTTGGGGCGAATGGCATTGCTGTCAATTTCTATGGTTCTTATTCCGTTTAGAGTTTTATACCTCTAATGTCCCTTTTGAGTCTTCCAAGACTGACTAGCCCCAGCTTGTCTTAATCGTTCACAGCTCACTCAGTTGATGCTCTTTAAAAATCCGTAGTCTTGGTGTTAAAGGTAAGTGATCTCTCCCTAGGATTGGAATATCTCTAAGGAGGTATGTATCCGGGAAAGCTGAGCAAGTCTGTAGTTCTCGCTGTGCTTGCTAAATTCCTTAAGTGTCGTCAAAGCCTGAATGTGTTGCGGATATTAAGAGCTGTCTACTGGTAAATGACTTGTTTTTAATTACCATATTAAACGTGAAGTGTGTGAATTATGCTTGCGGCTTCTTTTCTTAAATTGTACGGCGTAGATTTTAGCATATTTTCCCTGGAAAGTTGAGAATTGATTATGGATTATTTATTATGGATTAGTCTTGGATTATTTCTCAGCCTGTTACACAGTTCAAACAATTCTGGTCATGCATTTCATTTGTACAAGAATGAATTCCACAAAAAATCCATTCAAAAGTCTTTTGCATTTCTCAGTTGTATTATCAGTTCAGATGTAACCTTGCATGGAATGTAGTGAGGGTGTGAAGATTCCTGGTGCCCAATTGCCCACAGCGAATAAAGTTCTTGGGCAGGTCAAAACAAACTACTGTATTTGCTGCTCGGCATCATTCTCTGACACAGCCACAAGTGAAGCCTTGGAGGCTAAAACATGTCTGAGCAATTGACTGAAAAATTAAATTGGTTTCTTCGCAGTTAATATACAGAGATATGAACAGAATTTGGAAACAAAGCGTAGCGTGTTCACAGCCTGTAGTTGTCTGTTCTTACATATCCCAGTTACAGTTCTTGCTTTTTATTGTTCCATTGTCATTCACTATTCCATGAGTGCGTCAATTTACATCCTGGGACTCTTGAGGAATGCATAGGTGAAAAACATAGTTGGTTCTCTTGATTGTCGTCCTGTTAAGTACCATGTTTGCTTATACTTCACTGGTATATCTGAGATTGGGCATCCATGTGCATCACATGGAACATTACTGTGTGCCATAAATGTGATGGAATTTCAACTATATACTTGTTTTAAAAAGTTAATAACTTATTGTAACTATTGTCCAAATCCTATAACATTTCCCTACATTTTTTAGAACCTGAGGGAGACTAACTTGGGTTTGCAGAAGTAAGCAAAATTAGTTGATCAATTGCCATTTTTAAAATCTTAAGTTAATGAGCAAGTTTAGTTGATAGCACCTGCCAGTTACTATTTTACCAAATGGCAAATTAAATTATTCCTTCGGAGAAGAAAATAGTTTTAAGTGGAAAGATTTTTCTTCAGAAAATAATGATGTCAATTGTTTTGAATCTAGAGTGGTCCGATAGTCCAGTTAGCAGTAAATTGTTGCTTATGTACAGAACAAAATAGGTCAAAACTTGTATGTGTGTAGTCACAGTCAGATTGTGGTAATTTCTACTTCCATTTCCTGTCAGATTACTGCAGGGTGGACTAAATTCAATCAGCCTTGAGACATTAAAAATAAATAGGAGAAATTTTAAAATGTTGCTTCTGCTGTTTTCTGTTTGCCTGGATTTCCTTAAAAAAGTACTCTGCTGGCAAAGGTGCCTTTTGGCAGCATTCCTGTGTCTTGTCCCAGGAAGATATTATATGAAGTTGTATTTATATAGTGTAAATATGGGAGGTAGTCTCAATTTTATAATGGCACTCTATTAGTTCCCTATCAGGTAGTGGATCACATCTGTGCAACTTAGTTTGTTTTTTGGTCCACGCCCCACCCCCCCAAATTAATAGATGTACTGTATGTTAATAAAATGTACCGTTCATGAATATATTTGGTGTTTATTTTTGATTAATCTCAGCTGCGGTGGCAGTTGAGTTATCGCTGGTCTCAAAGCTGGGGAGAAGCAACATAAGCCACGATCTAATTAGTGATTGTTGTAAAGTATGTATCTGTGAACTGCCAAGTAACGACACAATGGTTGTGGTGCTTCTCCATGGTTGAATAACTTCCCAGTATTGACTATCAAGGCTTGCACACAAATTAATACTTATTACCAGTTTTCAAGTACATTGATCTGTATTTGTCCAAGATCTGCTGTATATGGCAGAATGAATCATATTTTGACTGATATAGGCAAGGTTTTTAAGCTTTAAAAAGTTCAACAACAGTACTTTTGCTATTAACTGAAAATGTTTGACAAAGTACTAAAAGGCTCCAGATATTGATTGTTTTTTGGCAGAATATTTCAAACATAAAGCATCTTAGCTGTTTCTGTGAGCTAAGTCGTGAGAGAATCTGTTTCCTTATACTTTTATCTTTATGAGCATGAACATTCAGTTTTTCAGGCAATGAATTGAGAGGACATGTGGAAGGTTTCCAGCAAAACACATTTATGTGGAAATTTGTAGTGTGAAAGGGGCTTTATTAAGCATACATGGGGTACTTGTATAGTTTCTTAACTTTAGATTGGCTCACCATCTTGTTTGTCTTTAGGGCTGAACATCTGTGCTCTGTTTATAAGGTGGAAAGAAATTGTAAATGAGGGAAAATATTACCAGTCTAGAAGAAACCATTTACGTATTCTAATTATACAAAGTATAAAATAAAATGGTGCCTTTTTGCAAAATGAAAGGAAGTGTACATCTCTAGAGTAATTCCCTCCAATCTGTAGTTTTTTTAAACTTGAAAAGTGAGCAGGGTTTAACATCTAAATATGTTGCCAGACAAATCAATTCAAAACTTCAAAAGCACACTTTAAAGTATATGTGCAAACAATAAAATCTTTGTTAGGATTTCAAGAATAAATGGGAATTCTGTTCTGGATAAATCTGTTAATACTTTTCACTCAAACTAAAAGGTTAAACTAAAAATATTGCGCTTGATAAATTATTAGTAGTTAATACTAGAAGCAGTATTATAAGACAAGCACATCAGTATTGTCTTTAATGTAATAAGCGAAAACACACTGGTGGATAATTAAAATGTATACATAATAGAGGTTTCCCTGAATGTGCTTGTCTGCCACAAAACTCTATAATCTATATGCTGCTGGTTAATGATGAATTCCAAGTGCCAAAATGACGCAAAAGGTCTCTGTGAGTTTGACTTAAACTAGTTGGAGACGTCCTCCTGCAAATACTGCCTCTGTACAAATGTATCACTCAGATAGGGAAGTCCCCATCCAGATAGTTAGCAGAAATCTGTACCATAAGCTCATGCAGTGGAGATAACATTCAGAGAAATCTGAACAAATTACGTGGGTGAACTAATGAATGGCAGATTCATTTTAATTTTGGAAATGAAGTAATATTACAATCAGTGTATTAGAGTGAAAATTAGTTGGGTGAGTTTGACTATTCCTTGAAAGTACATGAGGGTGTCAGCCTTGCTCATTTGGTATTGGCCCTTTGGGGCCAGAAGATTGTGGGTTCTTATCCCACACTGAAGCTTTGACTTTATGATCTAGGTTCTTGGCTGATGTGTTGGCCTGGCTCAATTGATAACACTCTCACCTCTAAATCAGATTATGAGTTCAAGCCTTAATTCGGCATTTGGACTCGTATAGTCTTAAAATAAAACTCCAGTGCAGTGCTGACTGTATTTTTGATGGTGCCGTCTTTTGGTTAAACCGAGGCCCTGTCTGCCTGTTCAGGTGGATGATAAAGATCCCATGGTATTATTCAGAAATTGAAGGGAGTTTCTCCTCGTGTCCTGGCAAACGATTCCTCCAAATAAAAAATGGTCATTTGTTTAATGGCTGTTTGTGGGAACACTGCTGTATTCAAATTGGTTGCAGTGTTTACCCACAGAATAGTCACTGCACATCACAGTATATCGTATGAAACGCTTTGGGAAGTGCTATAGCAAATGTAAGGATTATTATTAAAGATGCTCCCTCCAAAGCTGTGCTGGAGTGCACTGTCAAAAGTGTGTCTTGGGTGAGTCAGTACAGCAATGTATATCAAATGGAAAGATTTTTATAATCAAATAAATGTGAAAGTATTGCTGTATCTATGATACTGGGCTGCTTCACAAAGACATTTGTTTTAAATTGCAAAATTATTTTCAGCCTGTTAGTTGATTGGTAAAACCACATTTAGAATGTCTAGTATTAGGCATTCATCCTTCAGAAAACTCTTGATGGTTTTAAGTTAAAAGCAGTAAGGGTGATCTTTGAACTTGGAAATATGAAGAACTGATTTTTTTTAAATTCAAGTGAAAAGAAAAGATGTGATTCAGGCCTTATAATACTGAGGCATGCATACACTGTTGATGTAAGCAGATTATTTAACTCGACTTACCAGAGAATTCAAGAACATAAACCAACAATGTTGTTTCTCTTCACAAGCTGGTTACCTTATGGTATTGGTACAGCACAAGCAGGTAATGGGTTATGTTTAGCTTTGTCTTAAAGAAAACTTGGTAGATATCTCCAAATAAACTTTAATGTATTTGAAGAGCTTCAATGTTACTTTTCTTTGATTTTTTTTATCACTTTAAAGCTTCAATATGTTCCATAATTGTGTTTGTTATGCAAATGCCCTCTAAGTGATATAAATGGGTGGGGGGGAGGGGGATCAAATGGGTATCTGACACAACTTGAAATGAATCATGCTCAAGGAATTTGCAAACCAAACTGGGATACATACATCACACCTACATGTGGAAATTCTTGGGATATGGTGCATGAAATGTAGAGTTTCCAAATAATATTGTTCTTTTAACATTGATTTTAGNTTTTTACTGGACAAAAACTACCAAATTCTTATAAAGTTGCTCTAGTATTAATGCATGCTAAGTTTAGCTAATTTTAATACCTTGCACATCTGCGCTTTATTTAAAAGAATCGTTCTAGCTGTTAAAAGTAAAAGTTACCTTTTTTATTCACAGTGATGGCAGCCATACGAAAGAAACTGGTTATAGTTGGTGATGGTGCCTGTGGAAAGACGTGTCTACTAATCGTCTTCAGTAAAGATCAATTCCCTGAGGTCTACGTTCCAACAGTTTTCGAAAATTATGTAGCTGATATTGAAGTGGATGGAAAACAGGTTGGTGTTTGATAATCGTATGAAAGGGATTCTCAAATTCAGTATCTGTTCATGATTTTTGCGTCCTTGTCTGATAAATCTGTCAACAGCCTTGCGTTTAAATAGCGCCCTTCACATGGGGGGGGGGGGTCTTCACAGTGACCAGAGAGAGAGTGACCATAGGCACAATCAGAAAGGAAGGATTTGAGGCGGGAAAGGAAGAGGTAAGTTTGAGTGGTAGAGGGAGGGAGTTTCAGAGCTAGCTGCCCCATAGTAATATATAGCACAAAGGCACACACAGAGTTAGGTCCTTGGGTTTTAAAAGCAGAGAGGGAAGGTGGAGGGATTTAGGAGGAGTTCCAGTGGGTGGGGCTAAAGTGGCTAGAAGTTTGTCTGCTGGTAGTCTGGTGGGATAGAGCAGGAGAGAGTGTATGAAGCAGGAGGACAGATTTTGCAGACCAAAGGGACTGGCCAGGGGAAGGATTGCACATGATTAAGGTACAGTGGGTAAAGGCTGTGGAGATATTTGAAGGTAAGAACAAGACTTTAGTCAATGAACTGTGGGGTGGAGAGCTGGTTTGAGTGTGGGGAGGAATGCGCCCTGTAGAGTTCTTGATATGGAACTTGTGAAGGATATTTGGCTGCCATGTTTCATCCACAATATATACAGTCAATTCACTTTACTGTATATTCTGAAGTGTTTTGAGGCGTCTCGAAGATGTGATAAGGCGCTATATCAAATGCAAGGATTATTAGTATAAGATGAGGAGGTTGGTGAGCAGGATATAGGGGATCAATTGAGTCTGGAGCTGATACCAGTGTTGATGATAAGTTTTTCTCTTATAAGTGGCAGGCAGTGATGGATACTGGCAAAGGTTGTAAGACTTGATCAGAGCCTGGATCAACAGTTTAATAAATTGTAGTGACGGTTAAACAAAATGCCAAAGTTCCGCGCAGACTCTGTTGGTTCAAATGAGCAACTGGGAGGCTGATATTATTATCACTTGAGGAGGAGATGCTGGCAAGAACTGAATAGGTAGCCTCATTTTTGTTAACCTTTATTGGAATAGGACTTGATCTCTGATTGGCAGTCTTGTCATAACAGTGGTGATTCGCAAGAACTTGTGATATCTCTTCTGCCCCTCCCATATCTAATTTTAATTTTCTACGTTACTGTCCAACTTCCTCGCTGACACTGATCCAACTTTGATAAACGATTATCCTTGCACTAATGAAAAAACTATTTACACACATCCATGCGAGGTTACTATTTCTGTGAATTTGACAAAATTGCAGACTTTAGTAGCCATGTACCGAATTTCATGCATACACACACAAAAACTGCATTAAAATTGCAGACCTATCCTCGTTGAGCTTTTTCATGGTCTTACTATTTGGGTCACATGATTTCTGAACTTGTTAGTAATTCAAGCGGCCTCAACAAAATGTTAGCCTGGCTCAATTGATAGGATTCTCACCTCTAAATCTGAGTGCTGCACTCCCAACGGATGTTGGCACTATTTGAAAAGACGTTTTCCTTGTCTCCTGGCCAAAAAACCCAAAGGTAAAATTGATCATTTTGCAGCTGTTTGTGGGATGTTGCAAATAGTCTGCTGTGATCACCTACAAGTGCTTTGAAAAGTGCATGGATTTTTTTTCTCAGCTACAAATTAGTGTGGAGGTTTAGTGACCCTTCCTGTGTGTTCGATGCTCTGGTCAAATAAAAGCGTCTGTATTAAACTTTCTGTCACGTGATTCTCCAGCCATAGATACAGTAATACTTCTTTAGTTTTCCTCCCTAACAGCTAACGTTTAAAGTCAAATCTTTCCAGGTGAGAAGAATTGAGTCAATGGAAAGAATTATTTGCTCATTTGGTTTTCAAGCTGATTCTAGACTTAACTCTGACCAGGCAATTTTTGGGGGGTAGATGTCTCGAGGATATTTTTATATTGAATACCAGGGCTGTTCAATTACCAAATCAGTCTCCTGGGCTAGACTGAAGATATCTCTGGCTCCTTTAAATACCTTTCTATTGTCAAAGTGAAGAGGGTGAATGCTAAGCCGTAACCTCTTGACATTATGTGAAGCTTCTGTTGGCTTTAATGCTCCTTTTTGTTAATCAGTTTTTCATTCCTTCGGGTCAGCTGCTATCAGGTTGGCTGCATCTTTAGTTGTTACAATATCCAGGTGTCCTGGGTATTCCTTGAAGAAGCAATTACACTGAGTCTTGCAGCTCGGAGAACTCCCATGGTTTGCAGGATATTAACTCATTATGGCTGTTCTGTGAAGTTCCCCTCTCATCTGTTGTATGAGCTGGTATTAACTCGAGATGTGTCGACTTTTGCTTCTGGGTTACTTCCAACGTCCTTGTTTCATGAAATCCTTAATGTAACCGACGCAATAACAAGAGTTTGCTTAAATCGCTAAATGTAATCCAACTTCAGAAATATTGTTCTATGGTAACAGTACAGCTCCATGCTTGTCCTGTTAGGACAAATGTTGTTAGTAAGGATCATTAGGGCTTTTCCTCGAAAGATTAAGCACTTATTGGACTTTTGTCAGTTAGACCTGTCTAGTTTTGTTTTAATAAAACAAGGACTTAGTTAACTTATTTAAGTTAATTCATGTAGTTTTTTTAAATTCTTTCTGGTTTCAGTCTATCCCGGCCTGAAATTCTCTTCTGATTGTATTCCAAGTGAAATTTAGAACAACTCAACTGTGCTTCTAATAGATGTGGTTTATAAAGCCTAATTTGCTACCAGTTATTTGTCCCACTTCAGAAATGTTGCACTGGTCTCTGAGGTGTGTCATGGAGCCAAATAAAATTGATTTCTACTGCACCTTAAATGAGTCTTGCTGGAAATGCACCTGAACTGATCACATCATTCTTACTTCTCTTCCAGGTTGAGTTGGCTCTTTGGGACACAGCAGGGCAAGAAGATTATGATCGACTTAGGCCTCTCTCCTACCCTGATACAGATGTCATTCTAATGTGTTTTTCTATTGATAGTCCTGACAGTTTAGGTAAGACTTTCTTCAGCACAACTCTTGGAATATTTTTGCAACTTTTTTTCAAAAGTTTGGGTACACTATACAAATGTTAGAAATTATTTCCATTTAGAAAAAAGATTAACGATGCAGAAGTGGAAGGTAAATATTTATAGACATTAAAAATGAAAAATGTAGATTTAGGTAGACAATTGCTCCACTAGTGCTTTCCTCTCCTAGTGGATCGACTTCAAGTTCCCCATCCTTACGTTCTCTAGAACTCCATCCCATGGTCTGTCTGTCTTGCCCCCTCTCACCCATAAAGCCCTCCTTTTTGACCTTGATTTTGTTCATTTTTTTTCTCTTCCTCCTCATACATTCAGGTACCTAGTCAACTGTGTGAAAACGCTTTGAAACGTTGTCCCAACATGAAAGGCACTGTATATAAATGTAAATTTACCATTTTTGAGAGAGGGTGGAATTCAAATACCATTTGTGTTGTCTTAAACCTGTGAATTTTGAAAGTAAGATTGACAATAATGAGCACTGATAGGTTTTACTTAAAAAGTCTTGTTGTAAATTTCCATATTCTACTCTTCTTACCATAAATTAGAAAATATCCCAGAGAAGTGGACTCCAGAGGTGAAACACTTTTGCCCTAACGTGCCTATCATACTCGTTGGAAACAAAAAGGACCTGAGAAATGATGAGCACACACGAAGGGAACTGGCAAAAATGAAGCAGGTACGTACAGAGCTACACGGATGATGTTTTGGGTTGAACATATAGCAGTGACTTTGATGGATGTTTTGTACTAAAACAAAAATCCATTTAATCCAATTGATTACTATAATATTTTCTTTCTGTTGCTGTTTTGGTCTTTCACTGCAACAATTTATCTATCAGAATCAACAGGGTTCTGAAGCTTGGGAACACTGGCTTTGTGTAAAATTAACCAATTAGTCAGCAGCATTCTTTTTGTTTTAAACTAAAGTGAAATTAAGTTACTTTTTGATTTTATTTTTGACCATTTTTTCCTTTTTTTTATATATAATATGCATATACACGCGCACACTTATTTGTTCAATTCACATACAAATGAAGAGACCTTTATCTTAATAAAATTGCAGGAAATCTGCCCCTTGTGAGGGGGAGATAATGACAAGTTTTGTATATGGTAGATATATGAGATCCCACTTGAGTACTGATATTTTCTCTTGTGCAGGAGCCTGTGAGACATGAAGAAGGCAGAGAGATGGTCGGCAGGATTAGTGCATATGGCTACATGGAATGCTCGGCAAAAACTAAAGATGGCGTGAGAGAAGTTTTCGAAATGGCTACAAAGGCTGCCTTGCAAGCAAAGAAGTGCAGGAAAAAGCATTTTTGTCTTATGCTATAATGCAAGCCAAGTGCACCCTACCACACACTTCTTGTCAGTCCCTTGATTTAAAAAAATCTTGAATTGATGTTTATTAAACTTAGTATGAATAGTGTCTTGATTATACTGGCCTTTCATTTATCTGTAATACTGTTCAAGCGATCCAGCTTGCAGCCAGTATTTAAAAGCCAACCAAGGTTTTTCTAGTTCAGTGCTATACAGATGTCTTGGCTATGGTTGATTTCAGTATGCACATGTACATCTAAATTTACATTTCTGCAACATTTTTGATCTGTATACTTCACATCAACAGATGCAGCCTTACTGGCAGAGAGAAAGCACCAAACCTCTCGTCAGCATGTATTCCTTGACATAAAACCAAACTAAAGTCAATTTGCCACCATTGTTTGTAGATGTAGCTTAATTCAACTTTTGTACAATTGGATTTGGATTTCTTAACGCTAATACTGTAGTCTCAACGAAAATTTTTAAGTGTATTGGAAAATAAATGAGTTGAATTCATTTGTATAAAAGCTTGGTAACTTTCTCAAATGGATAACTGTTAATGTAAACCAAATCAAGCTCTAACATACTTATGTATAACGTTAAGAGATTTAATTCGGGAGGGAGGGAGGATTTGGGGGGCGGGGGGGGAGAAGGGGGCAGGAGTTCGGTCTTGATTCCAGGACATGGTTTATATAAAAAAAGGCCTTGCTAATTGAACCTAAGTGGCTGCTCAGCTTGCTATAGGAAAGCTGGGCATCTGCTTAATAGACAAATTAGCATGGTCACAGCACCATGCATTCAATGCCTTCTATTTATCATATGTCAGTATATGTAATGCCTGCCTTTGTTTTTGTTTATAACATTGGAGATATATTTGTGGAGGTTCTGAATGTCCCTCACTCGCAGCCTACTAAGTGTGTTTTTATTTTTTTTTGGCTGTATCAGTAAATTGTTACCAGCAATACTAATAGCAGAATAAAAGCCAGTTTTTTAATTGTCCGAGTCCATTATTTGTATTCAAATTGTAGTGATATGTAGTGGATTTTGTTCATAGTACAAATTTCCCCTTTTGTGATACTTTCTCTTTCCATTAAAGCAGCCCAGTGAATGTCAGGGCTCACTCTTGCCTACAACAGCATAGCTGAAATGGAGAAATTGGCTTCTGTAAGATTATATATTGCATCATCCCTTTGGTGCAACATTTTAAGATTTTTTTTAAAAAGGCAGAAATTAAAGGGTTCGGTAACCCTGAATACCATTTGCTAACTTCGTACAATATTTTGGCCCCAAAAAATCAGAGCTATGTGATTATTTGTGCAATATGTTTATGCTCCAATATCCTTAATGCTCTCAAAATGTGGGATGTTCTGATGCTAATTCTGTTGCCTTGTTCTAGTGAATGTGCTAAGGAGCTCCCTCAGGTGCCCTCGGAAGGTGAAGTACTGCCTGGTGTGGAGTTAGTGGATTTCAGGGGCAGCGTTAAATACAAAATATTGTATGCAGCTGTGGAGGTTTGGATAGAACCAGCTTCTGAAATAACTAATAGTTGTGAAAACTACTGTAATCTCCTGATAGCTCTCCGCTTCACTCATTGGCGTGCTGGAAATCCATCTGGCTGCAGTTTTGAAATACAAGGTAATGGAAATTGTCAGTTCGGCACATGCATATGGATTGCCTTGGAGTGACTTAAGCTGCCTCAATAGTGTGTTCCTGATCCAGGGTGTGAGGGTGGGGAGAAAGCAGAGTAACTGTCACCCTATGGTAGCATACAACATTTAAAGAAACATACACTTGCCTGCACTCAGAAGCTAACCCAAAGAGAATCCAAGGTGTAATTTTGAAAAATAAGGGAATTGGACTGTTTTGATTTTGTGAATCTAATATTTTGATTGTTTCAGCTTATTACGGACCAAATTGAAAAGTATGTTCAGAGAAAGGATGCTGGCTGTGATTTTATTTTGCTTTACAAAGATTAAAAGAATTCAATCCCCCAGTGAATGCAGCATTCTGATCTATGAATGTTGAGGAAGACTCCCACATCTGAGGGGTAAAGTTACAAAGAACAGTCAGTAGCAGCACATTGCTGTTCTCAGCACAGATGCCTGTTGAGTCGAGTATTGGTTAGAGCACTCGCAAGCAAGAGGAGCCGGGTTCAATATTGAGCAAGGCGAAACCTTAGGCAAGTTTCCTTACTCTAGTTATCTACAGTAAGTGGGAACCGGGGTACTAGTCGATTCGCAGATTGCTTTCCGGGGATAAGCCTTCAAAAAATGTGGTGACTCAATCTATGACTGTTTGTGGGACACTGCTTTGTGCAATTGGCTGCCGTGTTGCGCCCACAACATGTACAGTCAATTCCCGTTTCAGTATATTCTGTGAAGCGCTTTGAGACGTCTCAAAAACGTGATAAGGCGCTATATCAAATGCAAGGATTATTATTAGTATAGCGCCCTTCAAGCGGAGGTAGCCCCAGAGCACTTGACAGGAGTCTTTTGACACAAAAAAAAGTCTTTACAACATAATACAACAAAATTACATTTGTATAGTGCCTTTTACCTTGAGTTGCTGGACAGTCAGTATCTCGGACCCGAGCTGGGGGTTGGGGAGGGTGGAGGCGGAAGGGGTGGATTTGAAAGTGGGAAAGGAGGGAGGGGCAAGGCGAAAGATTGAGGGAGAGAGTTCCAGAGGTTTGGGGTGTAACAACCACCGATGGTGGAGGGGACGAGGGACAAACGAGGCCAGAAGCAGCGGGTGGTGGTGTGGGGGGTAAGCAAATCAGATAGGTAGGGAGGTGCGAGGGCATGAAGGGATTTGAAAACGAGTGAGAGAATCTAGAAATCGATCCATTCAGTAATTGTGAGCCAGTGGAGCTTGGCAAGGACTGGTGTGATTAGGATACAGATTTTTGTGCAGGTGAGTCTCCGGCTGGTGGAGTTTTTAATTATTTGAATTCTGTGTATGGTGGTGCTGGGGAGACCAGCAAGGAGGGCACTGGAATAGTCCAGCCGGGAAGTGACAAAGCTGTGGACAAAAGGTTTCGGCTGTGTTGGTTGTGAGGTATGGACGGAGGCAGGCAATGTGACTGGTGGGGGAAAACGGTCCTGGTCGCAATGGATGTGGGGTAGAAAGGAAAGCTGGGGAGCAAACCTGACGCCTCAGTTGTGCACAGGTTCGGAGGTTGAGGAGTTCAGATTCGCAGGAAAGAAGGCGTTGACAGAAGTCAAAGAGTATTGCTTCCGTCTTGCCAACATTCAGCTGCAGGAAATTTGTCAACACCCTGAACCCATGATAACTCATTTTTAGATGGCAGAGGTCAAATCAAATATTTTGGGTGCTTCCCCTGCACAAACACATCGTTATAGAATTGAAGGACACAAATTTGTCAATGTAGATGCCAACCTGGTGGTTTTCTGTTTGATTGCCATGCAGTACCATTAGAACAAGAGGAACTTTCTCCATAGAAAATTAGAGAAAAATGAAAGGGCAGATTCCATACACCACTTTCATAACCGGGGGCTGTGGTTTAATACATCAGGAGGTCCATGCACACCTAGGTGTTCTCATTGTATATGTTTGATATCTTATTTCTTCATGCAAATGAATGTTTCCCTGAAATATTTACAAGTTTTCCACTTGTACAATAACAAATGTTCAATTTTTAAAAGATTCCAGTTCCATATTTAATTGATTGTGTGGTCGTTTTTCAGCAAGTGACAATTCAGACTGAGCACAAATTGTCAAAGTTGTGTGCAAGATTGTTTTTTAAGCTCTGGTGAGATTTGATGTAGCTGTTGTAACAGTGTCACAAATTACTTCACAGATAATTGGTTGAGTGCAGTGAATGTATTTGCAGTACAACAATGTCCCACAGTCTTGAAGTGAATGATTCATTTATCTGGAAGATTGTTGGCCAAGACCTTGGAAGAAACTCCTTTTTTCAAAAAGTGCCATGTATGCTGCATCTATCTGAAAAGGCAAATGGGCTCTTGGTGTGTCTCATTGAAAGGAAGTTGAACACCACAATTCTAGCATCAGAAAAATATCGCCTCCTCAAATCAAGCAGTGGTGCCTCTGAAATATGATGTGGTATTATGGTTAGGGCCATCAAAATAGAACTAGGTCAGTTTGTTGGGTATCTCACTAGTGAAGAGTGAGAAATGAAAAATGCTGAATTTCTTTCAACAAAAAAGCTTTGCAAATTTATTGTTGTTTTGCAACCACTCCTTGATTTGAGGAGATGATGTCTTGACTATAGAATTGTAGTGTTCAACTCATGCAGCACCATCTGGAACGCTGTATAGAAACACCAAAGAATTGATGAGTAATGGAAGACAGGAAAATTGTAGTGGGAAACCCATTTTCTCTTTACAGGAAGCATCCTGTGTAGAGCATTAATCCAGTAGTAAATATTCTATTCCTCCAGGACTATATGTAAATTAGCTATGTATATAACTGTTATATATTCGCCTTCAAATTATACAATCATTACACTTTACAGTGAAATTCTGTGAAGGGTTTTGTGTTTTGACAACATAAGGTGCTATATAATAATAATCCTTGCAATTGATATAGCATCTTATCACGCCTTTTGGGATGTCTCAAAGCGCTTCATAGGATACACTGTAAAGTATAGAGACTTTTTGTGGATGAAATGTGGCAGCCAATTGTGCACATCGACGTCCCACAAACAGTCGATTATTTTGAAGGGTTTATTATCCCCGGAAAAGCGATCTGGCAATCGACTAACAATGGGTTTCTACTTACTGCTAGGTAAACAGGTGTGTGTGTGTTATATATATATATATATATATATATATATACACACACACACACTTAGGAAACTTGCCTAAGGTTTCAACCTGTGCCGCTTGAGAATTGAACCCAGGTGAAGCTTCATCAAATATGGTTAATTGAGATTCTTCTGGAAAAATGTCTGCAAAACAAAACGCTGCTACTGAACTTGACACCCATAGACATAATATGAATAATGTGCTTTTGATTCCTGACAACACCAGTGGTTCTTTTGGAAATCCACAGGTGGCTTTCACACTGGTGTTGCCACTTGCACTGTAATGCTGTACGTTGGAGCACTACCTCAGTTACATTACATCCATTTTTTGCACTGTTGAGCCAAGTGTGTAATTTGGCTTAGTCTATGGCTCGCTCCCCTGAATCAGAAGGTTGTGGGTTGAAGCTCCCCTTGGGACCTGCACTAATGTTGTCTACATTGACACTCCAGTGCAATGCTGAGGAGATACATTGTTCAAAGTATAACAACAACTTGAATTTATATAGCACCCTCCACGCCGGATGGCATCTCAGAACGCTTAAGGTACCGTCGTTTGGGTGAGGCATTAATCCATGTCTGCCTGTTTAGATTGACATTACAGATCCCATAGCACGACTTAGAAGCAGAAGAGTTTTTCCCAGTCTCCTGGCCAACAATCCCTCAAATAAAATTGATCATTCACTTCATTGCTGTTTGTGGGACATTTCTGTGTGCAATTAAATCATGTGAAGCACTTTGAGACATCCTCCCGATGTTAAAGGAATTGTGCCAAAGTCCAGGACAATTTCACTGTAAAGTGATGTTAAAGGGAAGTCCTACATAAAATGTTTCTATACATGCATAACTAATAATAATCCCTCCAAAACCAAACAATAATAAATTGGTCATTTTCAGTCCACGACTGTTTGTGGGACACTGCTGTGTGCAATTGGCTGCTGCGTTTCGCCCACAAATAGACAGTCAATTCACTTTATAGTCTATTCTGTGAAGCGCTTTGAGACGTCGAGAAGACGTGAAAAGCGCTATATCAAATGCAAGGATTATTATTAAAACGTGGATTTAATAGCACCTTTCACATGTGGATAAGGCTCAAATGTTTTCCACTGAGTGTTTCACAGAAACTAAGTGGGGCCAAGTAGGGTGGAAGGAAGAGGGTAGGAAGCATGTTACAAAATGTGCAGATATGTTGTCTTATGAAAGGGAATATGAAGCAGAGAGGAGGCTTGGCAGTGAGGTTTAGGAGAAAGAGTTTCTGAGTACAGTGGGGGGAAAAGTGGCTGAAAGCTCACCTGACAATGATGGGCCAGCAGAGGGAATGTGGGGGAACAGAGCTACTGGAGATGGATAATAATACTAATCCATATAAAAATAATATCATTGTAATAGTAATCCTTACATTTGATATAGAGCTTTTCGCAGTGGGAGGACGACTCAAAAGTACTTCACAGGATATACCGTAATGACTATTTTGTAGGTAATCACAGAAATGGGAAGAGTGCAGAGGTTTGCGATGTGGTCTTGGTCACTCGATCGTGAATTGATCAGCAGGGGTTTCTGTTCCTGTTTGTGATTCAAATATTGAAGCTGAAGGTCGGTGGTTGTGTGGGTGTGGTCTCAGTCATCGGGTCTTCAGCCAGGCTGGTCCACAGTACTCCAGATCACTGTTAATGACCAATTAGCCTCATTAGCAAGTTTAGAGAGGCAGAGCTTGCCACAGCTTCACAGTGGGAAGCTGTGTTGAACTGGTTAAACTTCAGGAGTACTCGCAATGCACACTGTTAAGGACGGTGATGACTTTCCTTGTGTGTATGTGTGAGACACCCACCCAGCTGACCAAATAAATGAGTTTGCAGAGGGTGAGAAGTGCCCACAAAATAAAATTCTATTAGATGAGGGAACAGACGGTGGTAATGTGAAGAAAAATTTGTTGAAAGAAGATTTGAACACAATCAACAAGATGAGGGGAGAGAATGAAAGAACAATAAAGGAAGATAATTCAGGAATATTTAAAATGGAATTCAAAGGGAAAGACTGGTTTGCACTCGCATTTCTCCTGTCCAGATACATTTCTAGTTGCACCTCTGAAGAGCAGTTTGCTCACATAAGTTATAATACAAACTTTAAATAAGTGTGAAGCATCACATTTGTTCATTGGAAGCAAATAGGGATCCTGATGATGGCTTTATTATCTGTTACAGGCCTGTAACAAAATCCTATAAGACCATAAGAATTTGCTAGATGAAAGAAGACCAACGTCCATCCAGTTTGCCTTCTACCATCCTGGCAGTAGCATGTACATGTCCTGTCCCAAACTATATACTGTATCCTGAGATTATTTACTGACAGAAATTATCTAATTTGTTCTTGAAAGTTTCAACACTTTCAGCTTCCCCCCCAGAGAGCCTGTTTCGTACATTTACTACTCGCTCACTGAAGTAGTGTTTCTGCAGATTTGTTTTGAATTTATGATTGGTGTAATGCTGTATATTATTGGTCCGATGCTTATTTCCCCAAAATTGTCTTTGAAGTCAGAAAAGGGCCAGCTGATTGAATTGAGAGTGAGAAGGGAGTGCCATCATCTGGAAATGGAACTTGTGAGCTGAAAAAACAACTGATCATGGGAACCAATTCAGCAGCAGTTTGCTGCACCACTGTTAAACGCTCTGAGACCCTGCTTGCAGGGCCCTATAAACCTGCAAATTGTTGTTGTTTTGTGCAGATACTCTTTCCCATTCCAGTTTGGAGTTCTTCAACTGAATGCTGGCAGCATTCAATGTGCCATGTCTTGTTTTATAAATGAACAAGAATTAGATGTGGAAAAAAGTTACTCTTTAAATTATGTTTAGCTCATTTGTTTATTTAGTTCAGAATCCTGTCATCTTGATGTTTACTCGTTAAGCACAAAACTGATCTGAGTAGCAATCCCACCGGCAAATGAAAGGGTATGTGACCAGAGAGATACTTTGCCTCCATATTGAAATGGAACTCAAGACCTTGATGTTGTCCTCCATTTGACCAAAGTGGGTGAGTCGTGTTCAGGAAATAAAATGTCATCGGATAAGGGAAAAGACAGATGATAAGAAGGAAAAAAAAAATCCTGGGAGAGATTTGAACACAGTTAACAAGATGGGAGAGAGAATGAAAGAACAATAAGAATAGAATTCAGAAATATTCAAAGTGGAAGGGAAAGACCGCTATGTCGAGTTGACATCTGTAGATGACTATGAATTGTAATGCAGCAAAGCAGAAGAGAGTGAGATTACCAAATGACTGGATTTCCCTATTAACATCCGCTTTTTGGAAACAAATGGCCCTGAGTCATGTTCTATCGAGTTGTTCCGATGACACAACATCGGCGAAGTTGGGGGGGAAAAAAGCCACTTTTACTCCCAAATAACAAGGTTTCACAATGAATCACAATTGTCTGAAAATTCAAAAATGTTTATTGCTAAAAAATCTGCCCAAAGAGTAATGTCTGGGATGTAAGTTTGTCATCAGAGCATCACCTCCTGTTGCCCTGGAGCTGTCTCTTACAGTATGAGCTGATGTGATCATCTCTGATTATTGACAGTAATTGAGGTCACTCTCTGTCGTGAACAGATACTGTTAAAAATGACCAATAATGGGGCAGTGACCAGTTACAGATTTACTACCTTTGCTGCAGCCACAGGGTGATCAATATACCCTTTTTTTAAAAAAAAAACCAAACACACACACCAGAACCCATCGTTTTTCTTTCCTGATATTTTTTTCTTCTGGAGAAGTGGAGCCCAGAAACAGCCCTCGGGTTAAAGATCCGCCCTCCGCTCCAACCCGCACAGCGATGGCGAACTCCAGGAAGTTTTACGGGTTTTCGACCAAACTTTTGAACGGCCAAACGCTGAACTTCTCTAAGTTCAAAGGGAAAGTGGTTCTGATCGAAAACGTGGCGTCGCTGTGAGGGACCACCGCCCGAGACTACACTCAGATGAATGAACTGCAGTCGCGATACAGCAGAGAAGGCTTCGCAGTCCTGGGGTTCCCCTGCAACCAGTTTGGGTTCCAGGTGAGACTGACCCCCCACCCCAACCCCCACTACACCCACTACCCCTCCCACCCCCACCTCACCCCCATTACCACCCCCACCTCACCCCCACTACCCCCCACCAAACACTCTCATCCCCACCCCAACCGCCCCTACCCCCTCACCCCCACTACCCACCCCAACCTCACCCCCACCCCAGCCCCCACTACCCTCCCCACCCCAACCCCACCTCACCCCCACTACCCCCACACACCCCCACTCCCACCATAACTACAGGAAGTACAGGAAATATAGGAAGTACAGGAAATATAGGAAGTACATGAAATATAGGAAGTACAGGAAATATAGGAAGTACAGGAAATATAGGAAGTACAGGAAATACAGGACATTCAGTGCTGTGAATTCACACTGCTCTCTATTTTGTCTCTGTAAACTATTTTTCCCCTTTGCTTTCATTGCTTTTATTTGTATTTTCTTGCGGAAATCAGCTTCAAAATCAGCCCAGTATTCTGTATTACAGTACAGCAGTTACCTCCTGTTGGCTATTTTATAAGTAAAAACAAACTACTGTATGTAGAAAGGTATCCGTGACGGTCATTTTTCTTCAAATCTCCCTGTGTCACTCACTGGTCAAACCATCTTCGATTTACAAACGTTTATACAAGTACATTTTTTTTAAATTACGCGGAGGGAGTTTTTTTTTACCTGAATTGAATTTTAAAGACCTGCGTTTAAGTGGAAAAACAACTATTATATTTATGATTTCTAAAGTTCGCCAATAAGTCTTGTGGAGTCCTGTAGCTCAGTGGTTAGAGCACTCGTTTTGCAAGTGAGAGACCTGAGTTCAATTCCAGGCAGAGGGCGAAACCTCGGGCAAGTTTCCTTACTCCACACAGAGCCTAATAATAATCCCTCCAAAACCAAACAATAATAAATTGGTCATTTTCAATCCAAGACTGTTTGTGGGACATTGCTGTGCGCAATTTGCTGCCGTGTTTTGCCCACAAATATACAGTCAATTCATTTTACAGCATATTCTGTGAAGTGCTTTGAGACGTCGAGAAGACGTAAAAAGCGCTATATCAAATGCAAGGATTATTATTATTAATAAACAGGGTTTTGTTATGTTTGTGGCTGTGCCGGGTGTTGTCATTTGGTTAATGAAATAGCCATCTGAGCCAATTCCCACTTTTTTTAAAAAAAACTTGTTCCTACCTTGGAGCCAGTCATATTGTATCTTATAAACGATGGTGATTATGTTGGTAATTAAAAAAATGACCATGTCATGTCCCAAACTATATGCTGTATTCCAAGATATTATTTCCTAAAATAAATCTTATCTAATTTGCTTTCTTTCAAAAACAAATTAGATTTATGACATGTGCGTGCAACTGCCAGGATGGTGGAAGACAAAATGGATTGCTTTGGTCTTCTTTTATCTACCAATTCTTATGTTCTTATGACCAGGATTCAGAGATATAATAATAATAAAAATGCAACCTTTTTACTCTTTTGTATCCTTTTTAAAACCTGGAAAATAATTGTTGCTCTTTTAGTAAGGTCCAATAGTATTTTGTAATTATGCCAAGAAATGACATTGCATACATAATATATTATTTACTACATACATATGCAATAATATATAATAATATATGATTATTCTATTCATAATAATATATCATTGTTATGTATGCAGTTTTAATGGACATCCTATGTAAAAATAAGTTGCAGATCAGTGGCATTAGCAGCTTTTTGATGGCTTGTCAAAGAAAACATAAGTAAATAGGATAATGTTTTGCAACTGACTTTGATATATTGGTTTTATAGGAAAATGTTTATAATGAGGAAATTCTTAACTCATTGAAGTATGTGCGTCCAGGCAAAGGATTTGAGCCTAATTTCCAGCTAACTCGAAAGATTGAAGTCAACGGAGACAATGAAGATCCGATTTTTACATTTCTGAAAGCAAAGCTGCCTCGCCCTGCTGATGGGCAAGAATTGCTAATAGATCAAAATAGGTTTATTGTTTGGAATCCAGTCAGTCGGAATGACGTAGGTTGGAATTTTGAGAAATTTCTTATTGACCGCGATGGAGAACCGTACAAACGCTACAGCAATGCCTACTTCACCATTGATCTCGCAGAGGACATTGAATTTCTACTACAAAAGGTATAATAGCGATTCACCATCTAACATACAACTATTTTAAAAATTGATTTAGCTAAATAGCAAACTCACTGCTTATCGGCCTCCACAACTCCTTCCTCCATAGACTGCAGATCATCCAGCACTCTGCAGCCCGTGCCCTCTCCCGCACCAGGCTCCTTTACCCTATCACTCCCATCCTCGCCCAACTCCACTGGCTTCCCATCACATAGAGGATACAGTTCAATATCCTGGTCCTCACCTTCAAAGCCCTCCATGGTCTTGCTCCTCCCATACCTCTCCGACCTCCTACCATCCTGTTCGATCCCTCCGCTCAGCGGCCTCTGGCCTGCTTCACATCTCCCGCCTTGCTCGCTCCACTATCCACTCTGCACCTACTCTCTGGAACTCCAGCCCACAGTCCCTCCGCCTCGCCCCCTCCTTCGCCACCTTCAAGACCCTCCTCTTCGACCGTGCTTTTGATCTCCCTGCTTCCCCCCCCCCGCCCTCCCCCACCCTGACCCTCAGCTTGGGTCCAAAACTCTGTCCATCGCCTTGGGATGTCCTCCCAACGTGAAAGGGGCTAATATAAACGTAATTTTGTGGTGGTGGTGATTTTTGAAATGTTTATCTAAACGGACACTCAGAATGGTATCAGTCTGGTTTAAGGACGGTGTCGGTCTGACTCGTTTGATACTATTCTGGTGTCTGAGCCAGAAGGTTGTGGGTTCAAGTCCCATTTTGGGAACTTTGAACTCAGTCACAGCTAACACCGCAATGCAGCGCTGGGGCAGTGCTGCTTTGTTAAAACTCTTCCCACTGGGTTCCTGTAAAACTAAACCAAAGCCCTAATTGGTAAGATGTTACTAGCTGGACCAACAGTGGAAAATTTTCCGGATAGTAATTTCAGTGGCATTCTTTGCCAAACCTTTTAGCTGCTTAAACTCCAGCAGTACCCCAAGGCCTCAAGCCTTGGCTCTTGCCAGCCTGTGCCTAATAATCTCCAGAATTAAATAGTTTATTTCCCTTCAGGGAATACACAATCCATTCCATACACAGGGAATTTTCCGTGAATAGGTAGCATACATGCGTGGATCTCTCAGACTTGTTCCTACTCTTTGACTGTTTAGTACTAGTGGATAGACTTGTATCCACTAGTATGGATACATGTATTCAACACCTGGCTAACCAACATAAAATATTGAAGCAAATACTTATGGGTGGCGAGCAACAACTAATGTAATATATATATGTGAAATTAAGATTGACTGTATTGTATTCTGTATACTATTCTAATAAATCTGTTCCCTCCTTTTAGAAAAGTTCTCCTGTACGGAAACGGCCTAATCGCTCTCCAGCTCGATCCCCAAATAGACGTTCATCAAGTAAGGGTTCTTCAAATAGATGCTCTTCAAATAAACACAAGAAAAAATAAATGCAAGAAAAAAATCACGTTGACCCCCGAGTTCCCTAATGTGGACCAGAAGTTGTCTGCCAAAGTTGGATATTTTGCCGTATGATGGTACTCTTTGAAAGATTTACTGAAGTGTACTTGATAATCTGTAAAAATCTAACTACATGCAGCATATTTGTTTTAGTAAATAAATTCTTTGAGGGAAAAACGGCTGGAATACTTTATTTGAAGAAGGTGGGCTGAGGCTATTTTCCAAAACCTCCCAGTGACTCACTTTTTAAAAAATGCTTTGTATTTGTGGTACAGGATAGATGTCGTGTTCGTCTAAACTTTGTGATCTGTCAGTTGGTAAAGTGTATTGTGAAATGATATCTGATAAATTTCCTTATACTCAACCAACACAGTTTTAATAACACTAATTCACTCAATAACTATGATATTAAAATATTAGATATTTTTTAAATTGCCATCAGAGTTCAGCAGGCCACTGAAGAATAACAACAACAAAATTACATTTGTACAGTGCCTTTAACGTTATGACTATGTTCCAAGTACCAATCCCTCAGTGTTATCAATAATTGCTTGGGATAAAATAAAAGCAGCAGTGTCTTGTTATTGTGACAAGCCTGTGCATCACACAAGATGTATTACACGCTGTTAGCAACTTCATGCAGGTACTGGTTTTCTTCCAAAGGTTATTAAAATCCCTCAAATCTGATGGAATTGAAAACAAAGTCATACTTGGGATCTTAACATATGCGTGTTATTGCATTGTCTGCTTGGTGCTGAATGCATACTAAAGAACTGACAAGTCCATTATATTTATTTTATTTGGCTTATCGCCATTTCATATATGCAGTTAATTACAATTTAAAGGGTCAAAACTTCTTTCCTCCTTTTAACACTTTCTCAAACTTTTTTTAAAAAAATCAACACGGGGCCTGACACCTCATACTTGAACTTGTCCAAATAAGGAAAGTTTTATATAAAAATGTAAACACTAACAAAGAGCTTTATACAGGTTTTTTTTGGATCTCAGAAGTTGTCAAGTTCTTATGAAAGCCAACAAAAAGGTTGCAGTTAACAGACTTGTTTCAATTCATGTCCTTTTAATCTCTGAACTGCTTAAATGCGTCTCCAGGCTGTCCTATGTTGGAAATGACTTCATGTAACCAGCCGCTTTTATTATATGTGGCTACGATTTTTTCACCAAATTGTAATCCTCTTCCATGTCCAGTACAATATTGATTAAGTTGTCGTCCTCTGACACTCTATACTTCCCAATGTGTGTTTCTTTCTTTATTGGACTGTATGGTGGATCCGCAAAGAACAATGCTAAAGTGTCTTCAGCAGCTGGAGATTGATCAGGAGATAGAGAGGATTCATTCAGAGGCTCCAGCTTTGCTGCAAGTGCTTCAAGTGTTCGAATACTGGTGCTCTCTTCATAAAATACAAGTCAATAGTTAAGAGATAAATTCCAACAAAAAAAAGCATAAGTAATAGAACTTACAAAGGTTTAAACAGGTAGGAACAAGTATGTTTTCTAGCTGGAGATAATAGTATCTACTGTACTAATAAGATTTTCTAGATTTAAATAAACATGGTTTTGGATATATCATGCAACATTTCCATATGGACTGACAGTGTAGTCAGGCATTGACAGCATATCCAAGGATGTACACTTCACTGAGCCAGTCCGGAACCTTGGGTCTTGTTTGACCCTCAACTATTCTTTCTCTTCAACTTCTCCACATCCGTGTCATGATCCGCTCTGCCTTCCCCCACCTCCGCAACATTGCCTGGCTCCGCCACTGTCTCATGCTGCAGGCCACCAAGACTCTCATACACGCATTCATAACATCCAGCCTCGCCTATGCAAACTCCCTGTTTGTCGGCCTCCCTAACTCCTCCCTCCATAGGCTGCAGATGATCCAGAACTCTGCATCCAGTGTCCTCTCCCGCACTAGGCTCCATGACCCTAACACCACCATCCTCGCCCGACCCCAATGGCTTCCCATCACACAAAGGATTCAGTTCAAGTTCCTGGTCCTCACCTTCAAAGCCCTCCATGTCCTTGCTTCCCCTACTTCTGTGACCTCCTAACTCCCCACCAATCTGCCCCCTCCCTCTGCTCAGTGGGCTCCGGCCTGCTTCATGTCCCCCGCCTTACCCACTCCACCATTGGCAGGTGGGACTTCAACCACCTTACCCTCATCCTCTGGAACTCCATCCCGCAGTCCCTCTACCTTGCCGCCTTCAAGACCCTCTTCTTCGACTATGCCTTTGTTTACCCTCCTCCTCCCCAGCCCTCCATCCTCCCCGATCCCGACTCCCCAGCTCGGGTCCGAAACACTAATTGTCCAGCCCCTTGGGATGTCCTCCCGATGTGAAATACAATAGAAGTGTAATTTTGTTGTTGTTTATATTAACAGTACTCCAATCCTAATTCTCTGTTCTTTCTTTTTCCTTTTTATGTTCCTCCTTTTCAAATATTTATCGAGGTCCCTTTTAACTGTTAGGGTCTCAGCCACAATAGCCACTTGTGGCACAGAATTCCATATTCCAATATCTTCTGCACTGTTTCCCAAATGTGGAGCATAATATCGTCTGCAAACAAAATACTGCTCTTCTGAAAAATACACCAAATCCGTCGCACAATAAGCAATTTTAATCTCTGCCCCCTAATCTCTTTCCAATTTGTGCACTAACCAAAATCCAATAAATAACACTATAAATCTAAACTGGGTAAAAGCAGGATTGACCATGATTCCCCTCTCCGCTCCCCACTCATCCATATTCTGCCACTCATTGGCTGAGTGGTGCTTTCAGGACAGTGGGGGCAAATATTGAAAGGAATTTTAAAAAATGCTTAAGCTAGTTATTTCAAATTTAGAAGACTGACAAATAAACTAATTTTAGTTTATTGCACATACCTACAAGCGACTATCAGAACGTTTTAAATGGCCTTTTAGCAGCACGTGGCTGAAAAATGTCACAAAATTGGTGATGGTGACTCATAAGGATAATAAAGTAACTATGTCAATTTCAAACCAAAGAATATTACTTTTTACAGGGATGGCTGGAGCAAATGGGCATACACCTATGGGAAAGAAATTAGAAAATACATTTTAAAAGAATAAAAAGTAATATTCTTTGGTCCCCGGCCTCCTCATGGTGGGTGCAGTTCCGTAAACGTTGGTTATCAAATGGCACTGTTCATGTAGGAACCTTGACTGTAAACATTAGCAGAAAACTGGACTGCAGAGGGTTACCCGTTGAGCGCACCCTGATATCTCCCTCTCACATGTGGGGATGTGACGCTGATATTAGCGCAGGAGAGGCTCTGGCCAGGGTCAGACCCTCTGACCTTTTCTGCGGCTGAGTCAAGCTTCACCACATCCTCAGTACGTAGCCTGATTCTAGCATGCGCGAGCCTGAGGCAGGTCGTCTCTCTCAACTTGTTCTGCCGGAAGACCACCAGGTTTCGGGAACCAAAGGGCCTCCTTCACCGAGTTGATGATCCTCCAGGCACACTTCATGTGGGTCTTGCTGTGGGTACCCGGGAAGAGGCCGTACAGCACCGAATACATGACAGCAGGTCCCCAGGGACGAATCATGAGAGCAGCCATTCCATCTGTTTCCAAACCACCTGTGTACCAACAGTCCAGGAAGAGGTGGTCCATGGTCTCCTCGCCTCTGCAGCCGGCCCAATAGCAGCACTGACTGGCCCAGAACTCGACTGTGCATGAAAGCCCTGAGAGGACGGGCCCTTTTTAATGCCATCCAAGCGGTGTCCTGATGGTTGTTGAACCGGGCCGGTGATGGGACGTTCTGTGTGTGTGTTACATATATATATGTAGGTATATATGTATGTGGGACCCTAATGAAGACAATATTGAACTCCGTGGTGATGGTTCAAAGTTCATGCATGTGGAATGGCTACATTAGTGAGACATTATAAATTGTAGAACCATCCCTCAGCATGAATCATCTTGTTCAGGAGAGGAAGCAATAAATTAGGGAGAAATTAATGTTTACAAACACACTGATAATATGTCAGTTTTTTTGCCATTTTTCTCCTCCTCTGAAAATATTAAATCATGCTGGGACATTAAACCCTCAAGACAAAAATATTGTAAGTTTGATTTGTGTTCTGTGTTAGCTGGTTTGGGCTTGTTGGGTAGTATGTGGTTGATAACTGACTTTAGCACTCCTGCGCTGGAGAAGGGTAATGTAAGACGATATAAATCTTTCAAGCTCAGTTTATAATATTATAGAACTATAATAAATTATGTTGCACTCTTGTAATACACCTGCCACCCTTTTTGTGTTTGTAGCTATTATTGAATGTTGGAGTGTTTTTATAAATCACTGTTACCTATAATTTCCAGAAGATTCTTTGTCAATTCTTCACAGGAATTGCTTGAAGAACAATTTCCCTGAGCTTCTAGACATGCATTAATGTTGGTTTCTTGTCTAGGACTTCTGCAGAAAGGGAAATGCATTAATTTGTTTCTTATGTTTCTTAAGATTAAAATAAAGTTCTATCAAGAAATGGATTTGAATTGGGGCAGGAAATGTGCACAATTCCTAGCCTAATTAATTTATACCTGATGTACTCTCCTGTAAAATTATCTGTGTTTTCACAACCATTCTCAAAGGAAACATCAGGCACTGGAATAGTGGTGTTAACAACAAAGCTCTCCTCATTCCCAAAAACAAGATGCTTTACTTTAAATGAAATGCTATTAGAATCCATCAACGCAAGCTCTGCAGGTACACAGTAATAAGGACCTCTCTCAGAAAATACTTGCAGAACTGGCTGACCGAGATGTGGAGAGTTGAAAGGTGGGTATATTCTAGCAATGGAATGGTTGATGAATGCACCAGTGTTTGGTTGAAGCGGTCTTACTGATTCAAACCACTCAGGATCTGAAGAGAACATAGGGGAAGCAATGTTGTCCTCAAAGGCTCGGTCCAGAGCTGTTGCAAGATCCTCCCTGCACTGCCTCAGTTTCTCAGACATTTTATTTCACTGCAGAGAAAGAAAAATCCAAATACTAAACATTAGAGTGCTCTATACTCATTTTAAAGATTTGAGAACATCAGAATTTATAATAATAATAATTCTTGAATTTGATATCATGTCTTCAAGACCTCTCAAAGCGCTTCACGGAATATACTGTAAAGTGGATTGAAACACCCACAAAATATATTTGTTTGTAATATTTAAAATGCTCTCACTGCTATAACACAAACTAGGAACATACAGTATAAATATGCTCACAGGTTTGATTTGTAAGAACTCTTGGAAATGCAGTTTTAGATTCTTAGAATCTTCCATTGATCTGAATCAATGCGGTGACATTGAAATCAAGAGAATCACAGATACCAACTTGAAAATAATGTTAAAAATCCTGCTAGAAGCTAGTGCCCTTAGTTGTTGAGATTGCATCATTTCCCCACATTTTTATCCTTATTCCTCTTTTGTGTCTCTTTCCAAAAAAGTCTCTTTGTCTCTCTCAACCAACTAAAAATGATCAATCCACATACACCCCCCATATTTACAAATAACGTACTCAAAATTGTTTGCACATACACACACGTCATTCAGCTCAATGAAAAGAAAAATGCAAGTAGTCAGTAGTCTCCTACAGCACAGCCCTGTTATCAGTTTAAAGTCCTGATATGAGGCCTTAAACACAGCCTTCTGACCTTGAGGTAAGAATGCTATCAATGGAGAAGTAAATAATAAAAATAAAGTTAAAATAAAAAGCAGACAATGAGTATGAGAAGTATATAGAACAAAACGGCATACCAGTGGGACAGTAACTAACATTTTGAATGTTTTATTTATTTTAAATTATGTCTTAGTGGTTTTGGGGATAACAAAAATTCAATCAAGCTATTCCCGATACCTAAGTAGCTTTGTTCATGCAAAATTCCCATCGCCCCCCCACTCCTTGCCCTCCACCCGTTGATTCCAACCCCCGGCTCGGGTGCAAATCCTTGACTGTCGAGCGCCTTGAGACGTCCTCCTGACGTGAAAGAAAAAACACACTAATAATTGGTGGAAATGGAAAATAAAAAAAAATAAAAAAAATGGAATCTTGTTGTAATTGGATCCCTCAATCAAAAAGAGATAATAATTGGGTCACTCAATCCATGACTGTGTTGTGGGACATCGCTGCGCGCAGTTGGCTGCCGGGTTTCACCCACAAAATGTGGTCAATCGACGAAATTCCACCACGCGCTTTGCGACGTCTCAACAACGTAATGGGAGTCGTCATATCAAACGCAAAGAGTATTATTATTATAAAAAAACAATTTGTTGTTGTTGTTGTTGTTGTTGTTGAAGGACCACCTAAAGTGGAGACTCAAATCAAAGGGCAGCGTAACCGGCCCTTGAACACCTCCCCCCCCCCCCACTGGGTGGTGGTGGGTGGGGTGGGGGGGGGAGGAGGGGGGGGGGGAGGGGGGGTGGGGGGGGGGGGGGGAGTTCCGGGTGCCGGTGGCCGGCACAGCGCCCCCTGCCGGAGGGGGAGGGCAGTGCTCCCCGCGCGGGGCGGCGGCACAAACCCGCCCAAAGCGTGAAAAAAAACATCGGCTTTTGGGCGATGCCTCAGTTTTTATTTAAAAACTCCCCCCAACACACACACACACACACACACGGCCTCTCTTTGAAGGCCTTTCCTTACACAGTTTCAAACTAAACCTAACTCGGGGCCGCTCTGCTGCCCCTACAGATTGAGGGGGAGGAGGGGGGCGATGGCTAATATTGGGCTATTTTTGGGCGGATTTGGGGCTACAAACGGCAGTTTGACTCGGGCGCGGCTCGAGGCTCACACCACCGAGAGAAATGGCCGCTCGAGGAGGAGGAGCGAGAGCGGCGGCGGCGGCCACAGCGCCCGCCTGGGGGGGGGGGGGGGCGGCTGATGCCTCCAGTCCCCCCCTCCCGGGGCTGTGTGAGCAGGTGGGGGGGGGGGGGGAGGCCGTTATGAGGTGTGTGACACACACACGGACTCACTGTGGTTTAAATTAAAATAACGTGATTTAAGGCCGCGGGTCACTCGCTGACCATTGTCGGCGATGACCGAGAGTTTGTTGTCGTCCCTGTCCGGTCTGTGTGTGTGAGGGTCCCCCCGCCCGGCCCTCCGGCCCTCCGGCCCCGGGGTGGGGTGGGGTGGGGTGTGGCCGTGAGCCGCTGAGCCGCCGCCCTCCTTACCCGCCGGTCGGTCGGTCACAGCTCAGCTCTCCGCGCGGTGACGGTTCGCGCTCCCACAGCCTTTCAACTCCGGCTCGTGAGCCGCCCGAGCGCGAGGCAGCAACGGCCGCCCACCCGCGGCCAACGGCCAACGGCCAGCGCGCGGACAGGGGGGGGGGGGGGAGCGGCACCAAACAGTTGGGATGATGTACAGTTGAGGCTTTTATGGTAATGTTTGACCAGTGGTTTAAACTCAATCCTAAAGTAAGTTCAAGGAATATCAAACGCAATGTATGTGTGTGTGTGTGTGTGGGGGTGGGGTGGGGGGGAAGGGGGTAATGAGAGGGTCCGGTCAGCCCCGAGGAGTGAGGCTAACGGCCGGCGGGGACGGGTTAAAAAATTGTACTGGTCTGCCCGCCCCGCGCCCCCCGGCCCCGCCCCGCGCCCCCCCGCCCCGCCCTGCGCCCCCGGCCCCGCCCTGCGCCGCCACGCGCCCCCCACCCTGCGTGGCCCCGCCCTGCGTCCCCCGCCCTGCGTGGCCCCGCCCGGCGTCCAAAAAAATCAGCGGTGAGGGTCATCCGCTGACATATCACACTTTGAGGTGCGGGAGACCCGTCTCCAGGAAATCCTGCGGGACCGCAATTTGGACCGAATTTACAACGCGGCCAATAAAAATTAAAAAAAAAAATTGCATAACTTACTTAGTTAGCGGACAACACTACACAACCGAAGGGCCGGGTTTCAATTTCCGCCGACGTGAATGGAACAGGTAAGTTTGTCGTAATAGGGAAGTCACAAAAAAACGCAATGCTTCACAATGATGGAAGTCAAATCCCATCAGAAAAAAAATTACTTTTTTGAGGTGACGATGCAAATTGACCCCAAAAACTATGACACTAATAGAAATAATAATCCTCGCATTTGTGATAGTGTCTTATCACATCGTTGAGACGTCTCAAAAGTGCTTCACGGAACGTACAGGTGTTGTAAAGTGAATGGACTGTGTATTTTGTGGGTGAAACGTGACATCCGACCGCACACAGCAGTGTCCCACAAACATTGTATCTGTCATTGTATCTATGGCTGAGCGTCTTTCGCTCACAAAATAGTCAATTCACTTTGCAGTCTATCCTGTGAAGTGCTTTGGGACACATCAATGACATGTTAAGAGCACTACATCAATTGCAAGGATTATTATTATTGTTTACCGGCTTTGGAAGACAATGCTCTGATGAGCCGAAAAACTACTCCGAGGCTTCTTATGGGCAACTATATTTTCTGCGATAGGAAAAGATTTCTCTGCAAAAAATGAGTAGTCGGCATTCCAAGACGCTATCCTAGATGAAAGGCAATATAATGCAATATATAATTTTATATAAATGAAAGTTATTGTGGGAAGGCGATTTGCTAAGCGAATACATTCATTTGAGTTCTGTTCTTAATGATTCTGTATAAACACTACACTGTACAACACTGTGTGATCAAAACCAGTTGCAATTGGTACAAAGTTATTGGGAGCTGGATTATATTTGTCCAAATATCAGTACAGTTATTGGTAGTTCTATTGGAGTGGACAAGTATGTCTGTCCAAAGATCATCCAGGTTGTGTGATTAAAGTTGGAGGAAAAATGTCCCTGGAGACTTCAGATACCTTCTCCTCAGAGGTCTTGCAGCTCAGTGGTTACAGTACTCGCCTCGCAAGTGAGAGACCTGGGTTTAATTCCCAGCAGGGTGAAATGTTGGGCAAGTTTCCTTTCTCCACACACTTCTATTTACCTAGCAGTAAGTGGGAACCCGGTTGTTAGTCAAGACCGCTTTACCAGGGTTAATAATCCTACCAAAAAATAAATAATAATTTGGTCACTCAATCCACAACTGCTTGTGGGACACTACTGTGCACAATTGGCTGTCACGTTTTACCCACAAATATACAGTCAATTTACTTTACAGTATATTCTGTGAAGTGCTTTGAGACGTCTAGAAGACGTGAAAAGCGCTATATCAAATGCAAGGATTATTTTTATGTATGCACACATAAGAGATGGCTTATCGTTTTTAAAATATATTGGGAGAGCTGACACTTTGTTCTGGTAGGACAGAACATTCCACTCAGTTCATTACATCCATCAGATTGGTTCCACCTTTACTAATGGTTACATTTCAGATGGCATTTATGTAAAATGTAAAAATAGCCTCATCAATTTTTAATCGAAATGTGATGCTCAGAATATGATTCTTTCTATTCAAATATTATAGTGAGCCCATACTACAGACAACTCTCAGCTCCAAACACGGATCTTTATTGATGAGAGGTGTATTAAAACCAGCCACTTACAAAAGCACCAAATTGCGCAAAAAAATAAGACTAATAGAAACGGACGTGAAATTTACAATACACACCAGCAATATTAACCTGGTTTAGATTAGAATCTGAAAATCGGTGGCTGGGAAACCTGTTTATGTGCCATTATAATACAGTATCAAATGTTAATGACAGTCACAGTTGCTAAATCACAAATAAACCAGTGCTGTGCTACAATTTAATAATGCATGAATGCAGGTTAGATGCCACTCATGCAGTTGAATAGCGTTATATCAATAAGGAATTGTGCCAGAACTCAAAATGGGATAGCAAATTAATCTGATATGGAGCTGGTGACGGAAACAAAATTGCAACCCTTCCCAAAAGGAAAAAAACAAGTAGCAGAAGAGCAAGCTCGATTTTAAAAATTTCTAAAGCAGTTTATTTTACAATATTGTATTGTTCATCAATTCACTTCAGTCAAATCAATAGAAGATTCTGCACCAGGGCAGAACAGCTAAGCAACTGTCGTTAAATTTTGTGCACCTTACCATTCAGATCTGTTTTTTTTTAAAAAATGGCATCACCAAGAGGTTTTGTTTGTGTATTTTTGAAGGCAGCTGGTGCTGATATAGAGAGCAGCATAGTCCAATAACAGTTGATATAATTCTAGTAGGCAGATCATGTTTCTAGCTCAGTTGGTGTCCATTTTGACCTCTTGGTCATTTTTCACACTGTCCTCGCCATTCTCTTCAGCGGGAGCACTCAATGAAGCAGATGGGCTATTGTGATGGTTACTAGGCTCTCTACGCTGGTAGAAGAGAACATAAGCTGCTTTTGTCTAGGATGAAAAGAAAAACAAAATTAAACTTAAGTTAGCGTCTTACAATGAGAATAGGATGATATAGTGAATTGGAGCAATGCTCATTTTCAGCACTGTTTAGCCCTTTGAAACCTCCTCCCAACACAAAGGAGCTATGTAAATATAAACTGCATATGCAAAAAATAAAACTACATTGTTTGTCAAACTGATTTGTCCCTGAATTATGACTTATAACACGTGATTGTTGTACTCTCAAATGAATGTAAAAAATCAATATTTGTTCATAACTGAGAAATTCCGAAAATATGCAATTGAAACATATGTTTATACATGTTTATATAATATTCTTTCCGGCAGAATACTTTATTGGTGTCCTCTTAGTTAGTGCAGAACTTACCACAATCTGATCTTCTGAAGCTGCTGATACACTGCTGTCATCAAAGTAATACCACTGGCCATCTATCTGATTTTTAGCATAAGCTGTGTCTGTGGGGAAATAAAACATAACAAGTGGTTGTTTTATGTTAAGGATTTACTTCCTTCCCTAGGTCCTTCGGTTTCCAGGAAGAAAATATAAAAATGAGTTACTCACAATGGCCTCCACCCATTCCTCCATAGTGGTTGGTTATTGCAACAAGGTCATAAATGCAGAGGCCTGCCTTGGGGTTGTAGACAAACTCAGACATGTTCAGATCCCTGGAAAATCGGCATTAACACTTTGACATTGAGAATTAAGAGTTAAACACATCCCTACACAGAAATCACAATTCATTTTGAAATGTTAAAACGTAATTGAAATAAAAATGTTATACCAGGAGGACTACTTTAATGTTTTTTGCAAATAGTTTTTGGGAGAAAGGTTATTTATAATTCATTTAAAACTTCAATGCTTGCTTTTAATATGGGCTTAAATATACTATGTCTTCATTACACTATTCACTGTACTTCAAAGCAACTTTCTGTTCAACGCTGCAGATATTTCAAAACGTTAACCCTTCATAAATACAAGTTTATTCCAGATCATTAATCCTTTTTAAATGCAACATTAAACACAAGTCCTTATGGTTCAACAACAACATTACATTTATATAGCGCCTTTCACGTCGGGAGGACGTCCCAAGGTGCTGGACAGAGTACAGCATTTCAGAGCCGAGCTGGGGTTGGGGGGGTAAGGGAGGGGAGGGGAAGGGGGGTACCCGATGGCATGGTCGAAGAGGAGGTTCTTGAGGTGGGACTTGAAGGAGACTAAGGAGGGGGCGAGGCGGAGTGACTGGGGGATGGAATTCCAGAGGTTGGGGGCTGAGTGGCTGAAGGCTCTCCCGCCAATGGTTGGGCAGGTGGGTCAGGGGACGTGGAGCAGGCCGGAGCCGGCTGAGCGGAGGAAGCGGGTGGGTTGGTAGGGGGTTAGGAGGTCGCAGAGATAGGGTGGGGCGAGGCCATGGAAGGCTTTGTTTCCTCTGAAGGATAGGGAGCCAGTGGAGTCGGGCGAGAGTGGCGGAGATGGGGTCACAGAGTTTGGTGCGGGAGAGGACACCGGCTGCAGAGTTCTGGATTATCTGCAGCCTGTGGAGGGAGGAGTTGGGAAGGCCGACAAGCAGGGCGTTTGCATAGTCGAGCCTGGAGGTGATGAAGGCATGAACAAGACTTTCAGTGGGCTGAGGGGTGAGGTAGTGGCGGAGTCGGGTGGACTTTAAGGGACCATTAGCCTGCAGCTCCAAGATGCTACCTCAAGTGAAGGGTCCAATATAAATGCAAGCTGGTGTATCTATTGCAAAGAAAAGTGCCCCTAATTATATCAACAGAATGTCAAGCTGACACAGGTTGTCAATTTTTTTTGTGGTTAAGTGTGAAACCTGAGACAATATTGAATTTTAGTATTTTAATATCACTGCTGACACACACTGTGAAACAAGTGCAACTCAGATTGAAAACACATTTCAGAACAGTACTGACTCACCTTATAGGAAAATCCACTAAAGTATCAAGTTTGTCTCTCCAGTATCTGTTGTATGAGAAACGCTTTAAATGTACAACAAGAATCTTTGGTAGTGACCATAAATCAAATTTCTTAGTGGCCTGCTGGTGCTTCTTACAGGTAGGACAGTACCTAGTGAGAACAACAGACACAGGATCATTTCAAAGATACACAAAATGCGGTTTGTTTAATACAAGTATCTGATGTGAAAACTGATCAGTCCCTAAAATCGGTTACTCCAAACATTGCAGTTCTTGTTGAGAAATAATTTATCTTCCTCTACCATCAGATATACTTTCCTTCCTCAGTTTGAATTCTATGCTTTAACTCGAGGGCAGATAGACTGCTTTTCAGACTAGATCAATTCTGTATGGCTGGCTAATTAGGACTGCAAGGGACCCAGGCAGAAGGACATTAATTTCCGTCTCTGTATTCATCATCAGCCTATAGAATGGAAATTTGATGCGAGAAATTGTAGGCATGGAAGGCAACTGATTACAAATGCAACACTGATAATGAAATTCAAACATCTACAGAAATCAAGTTAAAATATCTAGATCTGCAACTTTAGCTCCTTATTCTAAAATTGAGTCAACATTTTGAGGTAACTTTTTTCATGAAAGAAAAATTCTATAGTTGAAAGAGATAAGAGTAGAGATACACGTTTTAAAAACATAGAAAACTTAAAAGGGATCGAAAAGGTGAAAGAGACGGAATGCTTTGTTCAAAATAGTCCTGCTAACATCAGAAGAAAATTACTTCAACAATTTCTATATGTATAAAAAAAGTTCAACTGTGCACTAACCAAAGATCATGCTCTCCCAAGGTTTCCATGGTTGTAAATAGATCTATACACTCCCTTAGTGCAACTGAGCTCTTTTTCTTCTGTGGTTGTGACATACTTTCATGCTTTTCATATGCCTGGGGAAAAAAAACAAGGAGTGGTAATTACTTCCCATTTCACGAAATATTTAAAGACAAAAATCTAGAGGAAACACTTTTTCCGCAAAATTACTCCCACCATATCATTTTAGATTCTCTTAATATAACCCAACAAAACCCTTGATTTGGGACTTGCCTTCTCCTGCAACAGGCTGCTCTGATGACATGTTAAGAAGAGCTGGAGGGGCTCCCAGTTTAGGGAGGATGTATGTTTTATCCAATACCCAGTCAGTATGGAACTTCCTGATATACAGTGCATGAAGATTCATCAACACGGGGCAGATGTATTAAGCCAGTGATCCCTTTTCTGTTTCTACAATTTTTTAATTATGCTTTGATGCAAATTTCCCAATTGAGACATTTTTACATGGAGATAATGACCTTGGCTCTTGTCAACAACAATAAGTAAAGATTTGCATTCCAGTGAAACTAATCATAGATTTAAAGTACACATACAAATCCCCATATTGACTTCCTGAACTCAGTTTTACTGACTGGAGAGCCAGCCATACAGAATTTATAATCAACTTAAGTATCCCTGAACTTTGGCTGATGGGGGAAGAGAAGACATAAGTTCTTACTTGCCGAACCAATGACTTGCATTTATTTAATAACAAATGCATTAAAATAAGTTCTCTCTTCTCTTCCTCCTCCTCTATATGATCTATTTATGATCAAATAGTAATGTACAGACCAGAATAGATGTTTAGTCCACCTGGTCAGTGTCAAAGGAATTTTTGAAGAACATTCTCTCATATCCCTCAACTTAATTATTTGTAAATATCTTAATCCTTGAACTGACAAGAGTCAGACAACACAAAAGTCTCACAAAATGCTTGATCAGGGCTTGCAGGTCCAGCACATTACATCTTGATAGGTCAAGAAAACAATTTATTTCAAGAATAATAAAATGATGCTAAGTCTAATTACTAGGGCATTGCCTTTTGCCAACTTCCTGTACAATTATTTGGATTAGTTCCTGTTAGTNAAAAAAAGTGTGTGCCTACCTATGTGAATTGTAATCTGTGGATATACTGCAGTAGAGCATTACGTGTTTGGCTGGCAAAATACCTGAATAGTCTGGCACAGATGACAGAGTTCAAATACAATGTTTTTGGTGGAATAGATTTGTAATAATTGTGGTAACCTATATAGGTGTCGATATTAATCTCATTGTGGTTTAATATTCACAATAAATCTAATGGTAATAATGTTCCAAAACAAAACCCAAACACTTACTTCTGCTTCTTGATCATCATAGTGCAGCTGTTTGATTTGTGTTTCCCAATCTATAGCAATTGTGGAATGTGCTGGAGTAAAAATAACAGATAAAATATTTCAGTGATTCATATAAAGGACAGTCAAAATTAAAGTGAAACTACAGTATTTTAACTTACTCAGTAGTATTGTTTCATACACAAGAAAAACTGTCCCCAAAAGCAGCAATGAGGTAGGGGAAAGACAACAACTTGCATTTTTGTCTCTACGTGAGTGTGTGTGTCTCTCTCTGTATGTGTGTCTGTTTGTGAGTGTCTCTGTGTGAGTATGGCTGTGTCTCTTTCTCCTCTGTATGTATGTATTTGTGTCCGTCTCTTCTATATGTATTTATATAGCTCCTGCAGAGTGGCGTTTCAGAGCATAGGTTGACACCGAACCAGGAAGATTCTTGGCACCAGGAGAAATTCACTTTTTTTGAATAGTGTCAAAGAAACCATGACTGCAGCCAAACCTGCTCAGCGCATCCAGGAATGGGCAATAAATTCTAGCCCTGCCAGTGTTGCCCACATCCTGACCCCAAGAAGAGAGCCACCAACTAATCTAAAGCCAACACTGAAAGTAGCCAGTTTATATGAAGTTATCAAGTTCTATGATGTACCTCAAAGACATTTTAAATTATTATAAATTGAAACAAGATTGCTTTGTAGATCACATTAAGGTTACATTTTGAATACGTTGAGCAATTTTTGGGCACTTCACATGAAGATAGATATTGGTGCACTGTAAAGAGTTCCATCAGGAGTTATACTATCACTATAATAAAACACTACGCGGGCCCTTCTCTGTACGACTTTCTCTTTTATCTTTACTGTTGTTTTTTGGCTCGGCGTCCCTCTCTCTAAGTCTAACTATTTCTGAATGTCTACAATATTTCTACCTTCAGAATAATCATTTTGAAGTAAAGTATATTTGAGAACAAAATATGGCTGTTTAAACTCAATCCAACGTAATAGCAGATGTTGAAACTATGAATTCATAATCTGCAAAATGCACCTCATCTAGAGCTGATTGCCATTGGTTGTAATGAGTCTACATCCAAATATTATGTTCGCTAATGTCAAGGATGGGGTTGGTGGTGAGGGGGTCAGGGGGAGAGCATTTCAGAATCCTGTCCTCTGGATAAGATGTTAAACTGAGGTCTCATCTGCTGTTCAGATAGACATTAAAGATCCCTTGGCATTACACACATTTGAAAAGAGAATGCAGTTTTTCCCCAGGGTCCTGGCCAATAATCCCCCAGATAAAATGGGCCATTCCCTTCGGTTATTTGTGGGACATTGTTGTGTGCAAATTGGATGCGGCATACTGTTACTGTTAATCACAGAAACCTTTTGAAGCTCCTAACATTTGTTATAAGCACTATATCAACAGTTATTATCTTGTTGAAGCTTTTAACCTGAAATTGATTGCTGCCCAGAGAAAATTGAGTGTGTCCGGAAAATTTGCAGTGAGGGCAATTGGTACACTGTCATGGAGAGAATGAGCTGGGCAAGAAGAAAATATTCTCCATGCCAATAGGTGTAGAAGTACTGACAACGCATGTTTAATAATAGAGCTACAGTTAATTAAATTACAGTTAAATAAAAATCCTTGCATTTGATATAGGGCCTTATCACATAGAGACATGGGGATATTCCAGTATATGGAACATTGGGGCCCATAATATTCCCTTCACTATAAATTGAACGTATTCTCCATTCTTCTCCGAAGTAGGAGATAAATTTCCTGAAGGTACCAACTGGTCCTTTCTGGGTGGTATATCCTAGATTGCATGAGTGAAATAGGAAGTTTGTTCCATGTTCCTATGAGTCAAGTTGGCATTTCCAAAATACAAAGCTATTGTATCCTCTTCCCTCACTCCCCACCTGATCAATAGTCATGATATACAAGTCTGGAACAATAAGAAAAACATGGCTAACCACTAGTATAGCCATAAATGGGGTGGGGGGGGATCAAATAATTTACTTGATTTAAATAGCGCACCATTCAAATCTTAAAACTTTCAGACTTACAGTTTAACTTTAGAAACTTCCCATCTGCTGTAATGGAGTTGAGATCTGAGGTGCCATAGGCATTCACTACATTAAAGTTAAATATTTTCTTTTTACAATTCTGTGTACTTTCTTTGGTGGGGAGTTTGGTGGGACCATTTTCCACCTTGTCATTCTCATCGGCTCCAGACCCATCAGACTGGTTTTCTGGTTCAGAGCTAGCTTCTTGGTTTTCTCCGCTTACATTTTGGTGATCCATCTCCTCTTCACCTGTATACAAAAAATACAAGATTAACATACAGAGCAAACAGACCAGTCTCAAGTAAGTAAAGCACGATCACAAAACCTTATAAAATTGTAACACTTATAAGATTGATATGCTTCACCTTGTGTTCACATGAATACCTAAATCGTGAGAATCTCTAATTTAGAGAATGCCACCTTGCATAAAAGTAGGACTAATATAACCAGATACAACAGATTTGGTGAGAATCTGCAATCATTGTGTCACATCTATTCTCACAGACGAACACATTTATAACATCATTCATTTTAGTGTTCAAAGGATTGATTTTGTTAACAATAACTATTCTTAGGTCAGAAACCATTATGTATTGAATTTTCACTGTGTGCTATTGCAGTGGTAGGATACAAGTAATACAAGTGAGATTGTGACTGTAGGATATTGGTCTCCTTTATATAAAAAAGAAAATTAAGGAATGTGATGAAATAACAATTAAAAGGGTGACTAGAGATAGCAATGGCACAACAATAATGCATCAAATAATCTTCTCCTATGCTGAAAATTCGGTTTCTATTTTTTTTGCCAGACTGAATCTTGACAATGAGTGTTAGTTTGCTAGTTTACCATGGAGGATTATAGCAGCCAAGTCTGATCACTCAACACCAAATCACATGCACATTGTGGAAGGCAAGGCTAGATTGTTTCAGTACTCAGGGTTAGGGAAAAGGCAAAACAGGTATTGAATCTTCACTATCCAGCGACCACGTGCACGTGGGCAAGAATGTTTTCTGTGCAACTGTCGTACTGATTAGCTGAAATCCAGTGTTAATTTATGTGAATGGCCACTAGGTGATGTGTTGGAAAGATACCAGCATTTGTGGAACTATCCCATTAGAAGGAAAAGGGAAATGCATGTCTTTAGGAAAGAAAGGAACAAAACATATAGCTTAAGTCATAAAATACAAGTATACAATATTACCTTCATCATTTAAACCATTTGACCGACTGCAATGCCCATTGTCTGTGCTCTGAGACCCACAGCTATTGTTTTCACATTCTTCCTTTCGTGTTTGTTTCACATAACGTCTAGAAAAATTCAAATTTGAGAAACTTTTCAATAAAAATGCATATAGATTATTGCCCTAATATTAGGTTGAAGAAATTGCCTTTAACGTGCAAATTATCTTAGCTGGGATGGTAGTCAAATAACTACAGACCAGTGAGTGTAATTTAGACCACAAAATTGGTTTGTGCATGGCAGAGTGAATCGTTAGCTGCCATCAGATGATATGAAACTCCAATTAATGACTTTTTATTTACAATTTCAGAACAAGCCAAAGCTTCATTAATATACTAATCTTAAATGAGGTTTTTCATTTGCTTAAAAGATGGTTCTAGTGGACAACTCCGCAGCTCATGAAAAGCATCTGCAAGATTGGCAGGATAAACAACAAGGTCATGAAAAAAAGTAGATTAACTGGCTACCTCTTTGACATGACAAGTGCAGATGAGTAAAATGTATCTGCTGCACTTGAATCCCATGAAAATGGGATTAAATGATTTGCAACAATCTAATAAATTTGCAGTGCAGACCGGTTGAATGGCCTCCTCTTTTCTACGTCCTAATAACCATTTACAATTACCTGGCCAGTTGCTTTTCAAAGATGACATTTCCATAGTTCCAGCAGCACATTAGCCCTCATATCTTGAGGATTGTTCAATATCTCTATAAATTGCCTAAACTAATACCAGCTCATACTGACTCAGTGGTGATGGTAGCACTGGGGAGGTAAATGACTCATGTAAACGAATGATCAATATTTTAAGTAGATGTAACCCAGACAGGTAAAGTTGTAATTACTTTATATTATTTGATGAGATTAAACATGTTCTGATGCTTTCAATAGGCCCCATAAATAAAATCTCAATTTAAGCAAAATTAATCTGAATAATGAAAATAAGCCACCTATCCAATAATAATCAATGAAAATAGCCACCTATCGAGAATAATAAACCAATATAGTCATCTCTAGAATAGCAACTAATTCTATAAATCTGAAGACGATCATGAAATACACCAGAAGCAGCCTTTTCACAGGACAGAAAAGCAGGGATTTATACAAGGTATTTACAGAAATTAGACTGCATATTATTACAGTGAAATTAAGAAGCTGTGCTCATGCAAAATGATAGGTTAAAAGATAAACATAGCAACACCTGAATTTCCTCTCTCCTTATGAAGCACTAGCTGTACCCACTGCAGCTACGCCTGCAACCAAAGGATCCAAGATGGAATGTAGATTTCAGTGATACTACTCACGAACCATTTAACGTGCCATAAACTGAGTGTACACCTTGCATGCCTTTCTGCGTCAAAGACCACCCCCAGAAAAAACTGCCATACATTTGTTGCAGAATAAATTAGTATAGATGTATCTCTTTAGAAGGGTATGTGCTTTCCTCTGCTGCTACTTTGTTGCAGAATACCATGCATACCTCATATTTTGGGGCTTTAATAAGCATTTTTTAAATATAGCTCATCAATGATAGGAAATTCCCGAAAAAAGAAAATGCTCATGATGCTTCCACATGCAAGACCTTTCCGATGAAGTCTAAATCGTGTCTCTACGTCAATCGGTTATTGCATTATTTGCGGAAACGCAGACATACACACATCGTCTTTATTAATATAAATATTTGTAACTTACGAAATTCGTGCAAGCACAAGGTCATATAGATTATCCACAGTAAGGTTATCTTTTGGAACAGAAACCAATAAAGGCTGGCCAAACAGAATTGTGCTTGCAGGTGTATTTGAGGATCGAAACTTTTTCTCACGAAAGTAAATGGGTAGACTGATGCATTTTGTGCTCTCTGTATCTTCCTCACCAATACCAGGTACTTCATAACTGTAAAATATAAGAAACCAATTAAGTCAGGTCACTGCAATTTCACTTTTTTTTAAAGTCAGTATTCAGTAAAGTTAGTGTTCTAAATCATGAGGCAACATGTACAACGTAAGATCCAGAAAAAGATTTTTTCCCTTACTTCAGTGCATTTCCCATCTCAGTTTTGCTGCTGCCAGAGGCAAAGTGCACAGACCTGGTGCCTTGGCACATAGACATATTCTTCCCTTCAGTAAGATTATAAAAAACATTTCCCTACTCCCTCGCTGTAGAAAGTACGTAGGAAATACATGCCCAGGTCACAGGGAAGAAAGGCAAATATGATGGTGGATTCTTGCAATGTCAATTAATTCAAGGAATCTCGGATTTTGTTCTTTCTGTATTGTTTTTCTTCCTTCCACTAAATGAAGGTCATGGGTGGGGCAGCTACTATGGGCGGGGCAGTTACTGTGGGTGGTAGATACATGGTACATGGGTGTGTGCGTCTCTCTCTGTGTGTCTGCGTGTGTCTTGAGTGTGCGTGTATCTTTGGGTCTATGAATGTGCCTCTTTTTATGTCTGTCAGTGTCTGAGCTTCTCTCTCTCTGTCTGTCTAAGCGCGTGTGCGTGTCTCTCTCTCTCTCTCTCTCTCTCTGTGAGTGTGCGCATCTCTCTCTCTCTCTGAGTGTGTGTGCCTGTGCCTTTGAGTGTGCGTGTCTCTCTCTGTGTCTGTGAATGTGCATGTCGCTCTCTGTGTCTGAATATGCGTGCGTCTCTCTCTCTATGTGTCTGTGAGTGGTGCTCTCTGTGTCTGTGAATATGCGCGCGTCTCTCACTCTCTCTGTGTCTGTGAATGTGTGTCTTCTGGGTGTCTGTGTGCAGTAGTAGGCCCTGAGAGGCAGTAGGTGGTGACCCCCTGTAACCCCAGTTAGGACACTGGAGAGCATGGTGAGCAAATTTGGTGTTCAGTGGATCTCCAGGCCTTCAAATGGAAACTGACTATTCGGCCAATGCATTAATCTGGAATCTTCCTGCTCTGTATGATTCAGTGCATCATCACAAGGTGCATTGACCCACTTGTCAGTTCAGTAAATGTTAACCATTTTAAAATTCAAGTTGAAAAGATGAAGTCATTTTTTCCATTGTTGAGAATTTGGAATGAGCGGGGCAGGCAATTTGAGTGATTCTCTAAAGAGGTTTGAGGTGAAGGATCTGCTTCTTAGGTGTATTTCTGTCCATTCTGTCCTCTAGAACTGGTGAATTTTATGTTTGTTGCTTATAGAGTAATGGGATTTTCCATATTGATTAAGTGCAGGACATACAATTGTGGATCATTTTGAGTGTTGCACATTTTTCAAATTCATCTCAATTATAAATCTGACTATGGTTAATATAGGTAATTCAAGTCACGCAAAAATCTTCTAAATGTTTAGACTCACCCTGTGCTAAAGACCACTTGTCACTAATTTAAAATTAGAAGCTGGGCCTATGAATGTGTGCGTATCACCTATACTTCTATCACATATACTTACACAAAAATATCATCCCTGTCCATAATGTGGGTCAAAGCTTCATCCTGTCGATACATTTTGTGGAACCGATGATTATAAACATCAGTAACTATCATCTGAAAAGAAATACAGTAGTAAACCATAGCTAAAAGAGGATATATTATAATCAAAGATCAAGTAGAATTACACTAAATACAAAGATGAAGTTTGGACATCATCCATTGAGGTCATTGCTTACTGATTACCTGGGCCAAAAAAGTGTGAAAATATTTGCCAAAGATTGTTGGGAAATTTGACAAATTCTGCAGAAAATTGCAGGAGGTTGATGGGTGCTATTGAGGTACATTTAACAGCCAACCTATATTTTTTCACTTTATTGATAAAAACTAAACGTGAGGAAATAACACATATTAGAGTGTTGCAATTTTGTAAAATTGATTTGTTCTTTAGCAAGAATTGGGGGAGGAAGGGACACTTGTCCCTGGACATCCAAAAAAAAAGCACTCAGAGCAGGAGCTCACCCTCTCATGCCCGTAAGGACGCAGCACTGCACACAGACCCAGAGAGAGAAAGAGATACACACACACACAGATCCAGAGTGAGACATACACATACTTAGACAAACAGATAGTTTGATATTCCATGCCCATTCTAAGAATACACTTCAGGAAGATTAAGTATATAAGTAACTTTTCCCTCTCCCCAGTCAGTATTTATGGAAACAATGAGATAGTATCCATTAACTTAAGTACTGGATTAACATTTGGCAAGAGATAACCACATTTTCCATTTTATTTGGCAATTCATTTTGCTCTGACTAGTGTCAAGTATCCTGTTAGGTTGAATGGATAATCTGGAACTCTGCTACTGACAATTGGGGATCCAGAGTAAATTTCTAATAAATCAAATGAGTGGAGAAGGAGCATAACCCTTCTTTCAACAGATGCTTCCAAACATTGTGTTATCTGCGCCTTGGGACGTCCTCCCGACGTGAAAGGCGCTCTATAAATGGAATCTTCTTGTTGTTGTATCTGAAGAGTTTTAGCTTCAAAGTTGAAACCTTTTACATAGTTCCATACCATAATTCCCCCTATTTGGCTGAGGTGTAGGAGTTTTTTGAAGCACAAAAAATGTTTAGACTACAGAGAAGCCCCTTATCTAAAACATACCGAAAATATTAAACTTAACTTTTTACTTTACTCTCCCTCCCATTAAGCAGTTGACCAATCTCGATTTTAAAAAAAGAAAGTGTAATGTAGTTCAGTCAGAATAAATTTGTTAAATGTCTATGGACATTATTGAATTCCTGCTCCCAAATAGAAGCTACCTGTCCATCTAAGTAGTTATATATATATATATGCCTACATCTAATTACACTTATCTTTAGAGAACTAAAAATCTACTTAAGATGGGATTTTCCAAAATACCTTTGAATGTGGTTGCACACAGGCATTTGCTGTATGTTGCAAAGGTTTCCCAACACAACATAATTCTGATAAAGAAAATGAGCTAAATTTAAAGCAATATTAAAACAAATAAAAAACTATTTTTCTGGGTTAGGATAAATATGTGGCAGCAGTTTGGAGATGGGGGGGGAGAAAGAAAGTGGATGAGAACAATATTGGCTCATAAAACTGGCATTGCAATAGAAAATATTTCACAAAGATCATGCATTGGACATTGCTCACAATCAGACCACAGCTCTAACCATAAAACAAGATGTAATGAAACAGGAAACTTATAGCATTGGTTGCAAATCCACTTCACACCACGACAGTATGCTAGTGCACATGCCTTATAGGGAAGAAATTCTTACAGCATACAGTACATACATTTTAGGCTATGCAATGTCCCTCTTTATCACTGCAAAAGATTACCTTTTCTGCAGGAACTCCTGAGATTTGAGAAAGGGCGATGCATAGGTCAGTAACTGCACCCATCTTCGGGACAATAATTCTACACTGTGAAATAAGCAAATCATAATTTTCAGGTCACAATGAAAATGACTGAAAATCAATGAAAATGAAACACGGAACTCTAATCATTTGTAAATGTTCCTCATAAAATCAATTATTTTGCTAGTTTCCATAGTCTACACATCTGCTGTCAATTGGTAATTGGGTAACCTGGACCTTGCTCACCCTCCAGGAAGGACTTACAAGGAGAGCAGAAATGATTGCTCTTCCTAATTTGCACTTCCCCAACACCTCAAAAAATCAATAGCAAGAATGGATGAATCTAAAGATTAGCTTGAGGGGGAACATATACTAAAGTCCCAGAAAAATTCTAACTAAGAATGATTATTTACACATTTTTCATATTTATATTGCACAATTGCAATATATTCTTGCTGTAAACTTGAAATGAATGTTCACACTTGATTTTTTCTCTCTACCTGAATGCTTCCTCCCTCCTCTCTAAAAGCTACTGGGACTCCTGGTTCCCATTTATTCGGGGTATGATTCAATGGTTCCTTTTATATTCTCACCCACAGCAATTAAACATGTCTTAAGCCTGAGCAACATTATCCGAGTGTTGCTAAACTATTCAAGCAAAGTGGAATCACAGGCAAATCTTATTCTCATGTACACCTTCTGGCAGTGGTCACTGGACAGCAAAAAGGAGCAGGAAACATGGCTGATTTTCTTCTTCCTAATCCAGGATAAAATGTAGTCAATTATACTACCACAGCTGAGATCAGCTTACTCAGCATGGACTGGGAATCAAACTGTCGATGTTCCAGTAGAAAATCTACTTGATTTTAATATATTAATTAAGTTTGATTATTTTTGATGATATCTAGAAATCTACTAAGGCTCAATAGCATGAAGAAGCTGAAATAATATTTGCAGCTATAAAACTATAATTTTCCCTATTGAATAGGGTCCCTTTCTGACAAATTGGAGAATCATAGAATTATATAGCACAGAAGGAGGCCATTTGGCCCATCGTGTCTGTGCCGACTGTTTGAAAAGAGCTATCCAATTCAATCCCACTCTCTCACCATAGCCCTGCAAACTTGTCCCCCCCAAAAATAATTATCTACNTTTTTAAAATTTGTTATCAAATCGGCTTCCACCACGCTTTCAGGCATTGAATGCATCGTAATAATTTCAATCTAGAGGACTGCTGCTTTTACTTTTATTAAAACAGTGGGTGGTAAAGCATTGATATTGAATGCAGCAGATTTTTTTTAAAAAAGATACAATTTTGCTGAGGTAAGAAGTACAACAACAACTTATAATAATAATATAATAATCCTTGCACCCTAATATAATATAGCGCCCTCCACGCTGGGTGGCGCGGCAGAGTGCTTGACAATGGTGGAGCCTGATGCAGAGCCAGGGGCAGGGGGAAGGTGATCATAGGCGCAGTCGAAGAGGAATCCTGAAAATGGGAAAAGAGGGGGCAAGGCAAAGGGATTGAGAATGGGAGTTCCATTGCTTTGGGGGCTGGTGGCTGAAGGCACAGCCTCTGCTGGTGGAGCGGAGGTTCAAGGGACAAGGAGGCCGGTAGGGAGGCCAGTAGAGCGGAGGCAGCACCTCAGTGTTGTGAGTGGAGAGGAGGTTGGAGAGATAGCGGGGGTGCCAAGGCGCGGAGGGATTTAAACACTAGAATGAGAATCTTGAAGTCGATCCGCACTGTGACAGGGAGCCAGTGGAGTTTGGCAAAGACTGGGGTAATTGAGGTGCAGAGTTTAGTGTGGTGAGAATGCAGGCGGCAGAAGATGGCATGATCGACTGTGTTGAACGCAGCAGACTGGTCCAGGACGACAAAGAGGCAGATGGAGCTCTAATCAGAGAGAGAGAGGACATAATTTGTGACTTTCACGAGCGCTGCCTCTGTACTGTGGTCAGGGCGGAAACCGGACCAGAGGGGTTCGAGTAGGGAGTGGAGGACGAGGTGTGTATGAAGTTAGTTGGCAACAACGCGTTTCAAAGCTTTGGCCAGGAAGGCCACGTGTGAGATACGGCGGTAGTGCTCGAGGTTGGAGGGGTTTGGGTAAGTTTTTTTTAAGGAGGGGGCTGATGACAGCAGTTTTGAGGGTGTGTGGGACTGATCCTGAGGAGGGAGACTGATTAATGGTGTCTGCCAGCAGTGGGCAGGGGGGTATGTGGGAGCTAGGTGATCAGCAGCTGGATGGGGAGGGGAGGGGGTCGAGGCAGTAGGTGGTGGGTTTCCTCAAGGTGATGGGAGGATGAGATGGGGGCAAAGGAATGTAGGATGGGGGCCATGGTAGGAGCTGAGGGGGATAGACGGGGCAGAAGGATGAGATTGCCAGGCGGATGTTTTCCGTTTTAGACTTAAGTGCATGAAACTTGACGTTTGATGTCATGATTGAGGGTGCTTGAGGGGGCGCACGGAGGAGGTGGTGGAGAATAGGATTTTGGAATTATTTTTCGCCTCCAGAACGATCTTTGAGTAATAAATAGTTTGTGCTTGCGAGAATGAGTGGTGGTAGGTGTGAAGGTGCTCAAGCCACAGCTGGTGGTGAATCGTGAGGCTGGTTTTCCGCTACCTGCGCTCGAGCAACCGGGTTTGTGATTTTAAGAAGCGGAGATGGCTGTTGTACCAAGGGGAGTGGGTGGTTTTGGAGACGGTCCTGAATTTCAGGGGGACAAGCGAGTTGAAAGTGGAGGAGAGGTGATCATGGAGCAGCTTAACGGCTGCATCAGGGTCGCTGCAGGTGGAAGGCCAGAGAGAGAGTAGGTCTGATGATGAGAAGGCATTTTTGTGAGGGTCTGGGGGAACGCCTTTTTCATGGACACAAAAGGATGGTGGAGGGCTTGGAGGAGAAAGGGATGCAAGAGGAGTGGGAGATGAGGAAATGGTCTAGGATGGCCTTGTCCGTGATGGACAAACCGGAAATATCTAAGCTGTAGGTGATAGAGGTCTAGGAGGTGGCCACCGTTGTGGGTCGGGGAGTTTGTATGGAGGGTGAGATTTAGGTTGGAGAGGAGTGCAATGAAGTCAGAGGAAGTGGAGCAGGAATTGAGATGAAGCTTGAAATCATCCACGATGAGTTCAGTTCTGAGGGACAAGGATGAGAGGAGAGAGGAGATTACCGTGAGGAAGGAACGAGGAGGTTTGGGGGGGAATTTGTGAAGGATCTCTCCTTCACAAATCCTTGTGAAGGATCTCTCCTTCACAAGGAGGATTATGAAGGAGAGAGAGGAGGGTAGAGGGTGAGGTACTTGAAAGAGGGGAAACAGCAATGCACTCACTGCATAACCAAAGGTATGACTAAAAACATATATGCTTTGCTAGATTTTGCAGACCATTTAATCAAACATTTTGAGACTTTTATCAAAAAAAAACAAGTTTTAAAGAAATTAAGTTGTAAGGAGTAAACCAAATCAGAAGTGAGAATTTGACGAGTGCTGTAGCTCAGTGGTTAGAGCACTCGCCTGGCAAGAGAGAGTCCTGGGATCAATTCCCAGCAGGGCGAAATGTTGGGCAAGTTTCCTTACTCCACACACCCCTGTTTACCTAGCAGTAAGTAGGAACCCAGTTGTTAGTCGAATGGCAAATGGCTTTTCCGGGGGTTAATAATTCATCAAAAAAAATAATAATAATAAATTGGTCACTCAATCCATGACTGTTTGTGGGACACTGCCTTAGGAAAGGCGCTGGACAGTCAGGGATTTGGACCCGAGCTGTGGTTTGGATCGGGGAGGGCAGGGAGGGTGGCCGAAGGAGCAGGAGAAGTGGAGGGTTTTGAGACTCGCCTTGAAGGAGGCAAGAGAGCACAGTGGACAAGCAGAATAGTGGAGTATAGTCTATCTCTTGCTTCCAGCATTGCCCATCCGGCTTTCTGCACACAGGTGCAAACCTGATGAACCTGAAGTGCACACTACAACAAACTCAGTTATAACCCAGTATCTCAATGTACGGACCTAACTGCTGTTTTAACAGGATTGGATTGTACCTGACATATGTTTCAACATTCCAGGACTTCATGAATTGTATATTTACACACCTTCCTTTACATTCTTGGATTTAAAAACATCCTAATTGATATAAATACTCACTTTTTGAACAAGAGTAGTTTAGGTTCCTTGTAACTTGACTTTGGAGGTGACACGAATTGTGATACCACCAGAAATGAGCTCAGAAAGACTTGATAGTGTTCACCACATACTAGCTTACCGAGAGCTTAGAGAGCCGAGACTTACCTGAATTGGCCTAGATTTTGGGTCTGCCCGAACAAAGAAGATTTCCATTGTGCGATCCTTCTTCATAGGTAGTGGAAGAGTTAAGTAACAGAATGGATCAAATGTAACAGAAATTTTGGAACATTCTGGGCACACAAGTGTGGATTTGAAAAGCCCATGGAAGATGTCTACAATGATAGAGTCGTTTCTTAACCGGTGGTTTTCCCATGCTTCTTTAGCTACTACCTGCAATTGTAAAGGAGACAAGACAAGATCATGCCACTACTCACTTCATAAAAATATACACATATCAATCAGTTTCCACTTCCTGTTCTCAGATTGCTAGGTCATGTAATTGATCCGTTTCCAGTTGCTTTCAAACCAGCCTTCAGTTTTCAAATATCCTTCAGTTTTCCTTACCTCTCTGTGGTAATAATATAATAATGCTTGCATTTTGATATAGAGCCTCATTATGCCTTCAAGACGTCTCAAAGCGCTTCACAGACTGTAAAGTGAATTGACTGTATATTTTTGTGGGCGAAACAGTACCACCTAAGCCATTTGTTTCTATTTGACACTGCACTTAAGTGTAGCAATTCATTATATTGCCGAAACCAGCAGCTAATCTGCGCCAACAATAGCTCATAAACTCTAAACTGGCGATGCATCAAGCTCTCACGTAAATGAGAAATGACCAGATATAGTGTATAGAAACAAGGACACTTGAGAATATTTCTGTGCTTTTACAGTGAAAACTTCAATGTCTGAAAAATTACCCCCCAAAAATTCAATATATCGCTTCACCATGGGGATTATCAATCTAGATATCAGAATATTTGAATGTCACTTATCCACATTACACTTTGATGCAGAAGTAAAGTGCAGCTGTGATGATAAATTAGTTTGTGTCCTAATTTCCCAAACATGACTGTAACTGGTAAAGTAAGGCAATTTGTCTTGAGTGAAAGAGAAAGTCAGAGAAATACAGATGAAACCTGAGAAAGTCATAAAAAGAGAGCGAAATAGAGAAAGGTTCAAAGAGATTGCAGTGACACATGGCAATTTTGGTCAGCTGTACAGTCAATTTGTATTTTGCATGATCTATACGGTCTCCATAGCTACAATGTATCTGTTATATTTTCCCATAAAGTATTTACATTTGTCATATTACCTTAGAGGGATATTAATACTTGGACGTACCTCATCCTCTCGACCATTAGCATCTTTTAATTCTAAATAAGGTTTTTTCTTCACACGGTTTAAATCTTCGTGTAAACCATCTAAAAGAAATGCAAGCAGCTCTTGAGAGTCCTGCTGCTGGTACCCTGAAAACTGGGGGGCAAAACGTCCAACCTGTGTCTGTAGAAATAAAGATTATTTTAGTTGAATGACTATCTTGTTTTAAGCCACAAGTTGAAATACATACATTAGGAAAAATGTTAAGAATTTATTGCTATCAATATAATTAATACACTTACATATATTGCAAAACATTTGTAGTGAAGGAGTGCCACATAATTTAACATGTTTGCTATGCTGCACATATTTTCCCCATGTACCCTGTTTTATAGAGACTTAAACTCATGTATAACATTCTTCACAGTTCATTTATATGCAGCAGCTGGTTTGAACTTGCCCTATCATCCAAAGATAGTATGGGGCACACTGCTATTCCAATTGTACTCCCAGGTCATAGGGATAGATTAATAATGCACTCCATCAAGTTGCCATGTCAGGTATACTGCTGTGAGATGACACTTCACGAGAGAAAGAGACAATCTGAGAGATTACTGTTATTAGGCTGCTTCCTGACACTTTTCAGGGTAGGCTGAAGAATATTAGACAAGCATTGGAGCAGGTCAGTTATTTGAGTGTACAAGTCAGAATCAAAATGTTAAGGGTAAAAGACCCCACAGAGAGCTAAATGGCGACCTTGTTGTAAAATGCTTTGCATTCATTTAATTATACTTTGGTCACCCGCTCCCCTGGTATTCAAACCCACTATTGTGCTCCGAGACGCTATCCTGTGCAATGGATGCAATGTAAATGCAAGTTGTTGCTGAATTCACTGAATTATAACGTGGGTTGGCTGTGGACTTGTGGTTACACTAAATGTAATAGCTAACTTCCTGGGCAAATACATACTACTAGGTTTGATAATTGAATATATAGTATAAATGTTGTCCATCATTTTCTGTCCCAAGCCCTTCCTGAAGATGTTTGACCTAAGTTATCCTTCTATAGACCAATCCATCAATATGTTAAACCTGCTGCTCCAAGTCTCTTTCTTCCCCCCTAACAGACCTTTTCCCTATTTTGATGAGAATCAATATTTACGGCAAAGAGATGTGCAGACACTTTTGGACTGGGATTCAAATTTACATTCCCAAATCAGCCAGTGATCATTAGAGTGGGAACTACAGACTATTTTTATTCCAATCTAAAACAAATCCCATTTAAACATCAAAGCAATAGATTGGTTTTACTTAAAACAAGGTTTCTCTAAAAATAATTATACAAGAGTTTGCCAGTACTTACTTTGAACATTCGTGGTGCCACATAAGAGTTTCTCCCTGACCACATCTGTTTGATAAGCTCAGCATAAGATTCAGCAATTTCTCCCCTCATGCCTAATGGATTCTCTCGATTCAGTTCATCTTCATACTTGCCTTGTAGGAAGTAATCAGTCAATGGACCGGTATTACTCAAGCACTAGCAGGAGATTGAAATCCAGAATGAGTTTAGCATGCTGATATTTGGTTATGTAAACAAAACAAATATTGAGATTGAGACAGAAATCAATTGTTTGATGCACTAAATCTTACAGAACTACAGCTTTTAAAGCGATGAGCCTTACCTGTAATGCTGAGTTCATGAAACATGTGTTGCCAAGGTTACTAAGACCACAAAGGCCTGGCTGGGTTTGTGAATGTGATTCTCTGCAATTATAGGAACAGCTGTATGATGAAGAACTGTATCCACTTGACCTGAAATAAAGTATAAAATCTACTAAATACTCAGCAGCAATTAGTGTACATATTTCTTCCTGAAGCAAGTGTAAAAATGCAATAAAAATTTACAAATCAACAATTTCATAGCACACAAAATCATTACTTGGTTGTCTTAATACGGTGTACTAATTTCGCTGAGTCCATTATAAACCAATACTGCAGTGAAATGAAATAGTTATAGCAGAATTAAGGAACAAATGATGCAGTAACTGAAGATTCTAGCATGTAATTATATCAACCATCCATATTCACATTAAGACATTAACTCAAATTGTTAAAGAATTGACCACACGTTAAATGTTTGTGGAATTAGCCAAGCATTTATTTCTATAGAATATGCAAAAGCTGTCCAGTAGAATGCCATTATTAAAACGGCTATAAAAAGAGCTATTCACTGAAGGTGCATCTGAAGAGATACTGAATTTACAGTCGAGTTTAGCTCCATGGAGACAAGAATTCAAGACATGTAACAGTTATACCCAGATACAAAACAAGTGTTTACATTCATGAAAGAATCAGCAATACAGGTATCTTGCATAACACATGATCTAAAACATATGCAGCACTTGTTCAGATAGCTACAGTAAACTCCTGATTACTTTTAATAATAATAATCCCTCCAAAACCAAAAACAATAAGAAATTGGTCATTTTCAATCCATGACTGTTTGTGGGACATTGCTGTGCACAATTGGCTGCCGCGTTCGCCCACAAATATACAGTCAATTCACTTTACAGTGTGTTCTGTGAAGCGCTTTGGGACGTCCTCCCGACGTGAAAAGCGCTATATCAAATGCAAGGATTATTATTATTATTTTCACTTCAAAGGAAAAAGGTTGAGTGACAAGTTATCTGGAGTGGCGAATTAGGCATATGACTAAATACATAAATAAATGCAGCCCAAATATTGACAGCATGATGACTTAAGTGGTAGCGACAAATAAAGCTAGGATTGAGTTATCAGGAGTTATTGTATTCTGAAATAAAGAAAGCAAACTCTTCTGAATTATGTCAATAAAACAAATTTGGGGTGATAATAATAGTAATCCTTGCATTTGATATAGCGCCTCACCACGTCTTCACAAATACATACTGTAAATTGAATTGACTGTATATTTTGTGGGTGAAACGCAGCAGGTAATTGTGCACAGCAGTGTCCCACAAGCAGTCGTGGATTCAGTGACCAAATTATTATTTTTATGAAGGGTTTTTATCCCCAGAAAAAGGATTCGCCAATCGACTAACAACCGGCTGCCTACTTACTGCTATGTAAACAGAGGCGTGTGGAGTAAAGAAACTTGCCCAACGTTTCACCCTGCTGGGAATCGAACCCAGGTCCTCTCTCTTGCATGCTCTAACCATTAAGCTTCAGGACTCCACCTTTAGTTAAACATACTAAGTAAACTTACAGATTACAGTGAATAAAATCCTGATTTTGTACTCCACAGGTTAGACATGGACTGAAGAGAAGTCAAAAGAAGATCTGATCTTCAGGAGATTTTAATTTTATAGGTACTAAGCAGTTTAAGCTCCAAATAAAAATAAGATGGTGTGTGTTTTTGAAGGGAGGATAAAGGAGTCTACCTGCTTTTTTATACCTTAGCAATTAAAAAGTTAAGGAGCCTCATTATAATGCCGTCCTCTGGGTTCAATAGCATAGAAGCAGAGTTGCTTGTGAAGCAAGAAAAGATGGCTAACTTTTGAGTTGTCACCTCATTGCTGACAACACTTCTTGCTTGTTGTGTGCATGAACAGCATGCAGGAAATGATGTCAATGGCAACCCAACATCCACCACCAACAACAACAAGATTTCATTTATAGAGCGCCTTTCATGTCGGGAGGACGTCCCAAGTCGCTGGACAGTTGGGTCAGGACCCGAGCAGGGGGGAAATGGTCAGGGTGAGGGGAGGGAAGGAGCGAGGAAGGGGTAGAGAGTCGAGAGGGGAGCTGAAGGCACAGTCAAAGAGAAAGGTCTTGAGACCGGCCTTGAAGGAGGAAGCGGCGAAGGCACTGAGGGATGGAATTCCAGAGCCTCGGGGCTGAGAGGCTGAAGGTCCGGCCACCGATGGTAGGGCGGTTGGTGCGGGGGATGTGGAGCAGACCGGAACCAGAGGAACGGAGGGTACGGGCAGGTAAGTAGACATCCTGGAAATTGGCCATTTTTAAGCACAGGAAGCCAGCTGGTCAACACTAGGAGCTAGATACACTACACTTACAGTTACCAAGAGAGTTATAATGGAGTTCCCCATACAAAGATAGGCAAACTGAAGCCCAATGTGAGTTTTTTCTCACTTGAGGCAGACCTCAAATGCAAAACTGACTGCATACACTTAGTTGAAAGTTGATTTCCTGTAGGTAAAGTGAAAGAAAAAAAACTTTGGGAAAAGAAAAACAAAAGAGATTTCTGGAACTAATTGGCACTATATCACAATTAGTCAACATATTTTTTCAAAAAAGAGCAAAAAAGTGGCCACAATCAATTGAGGCTTTTTTTTCCACCATGCTGGTACACTCACCCTCTGGTGGAGCTGGAACTGTTTAATGTATAGCTGGAGTTGCTGTTGTCACCATTGGACACCGCAGGAGAGGAGGACAAGGGCGAATAAGAGCTGCAGCTATTCAAGGATTTTGGAGAGGTAGATAAATTTCTGCTGGTGGCAGTGCTGGATCTGTCATGAAAACAAAGGCACGAATATGGTTTTACAAACATATTGCCACATGCAAGGCAACCTTTAGAGTAGACTTGCATGCCTTGCAATACTCGTAGATCACCACGGGGACTAAATATTTTATTTTGGGGCGGGAATTTAAGTTTAATGTTTTGAATCATACAAAATGATTAATGGAACAAAGTATGCATCGATGTTTTATGTGGGATGTCCCTCACTGCCTCCAGTCATTTGAAAAAAAAGACATAAACAAAAGGAAAACTGAGAATGAAGAGAAGACAAAGAAGTAAACAATGTGCGTCTGCTGTGCGACAAGCCAAAATTAGGACCTGAAAAAAAAACGAAGCTTTCAACGATCAAAGAGACAAGGTGGATTTCCAAAGAAAATGCTGGTAACTTTCATTCTCATCCCAATCCTCTCCAAATAAAATTATAGAATAATGGCTAATTTTTTGTGTCTTTCAAGGCTTTAATCTAATTGACGCTTTCAGACATAATTGTATAAGAGAAAAGCTTAATTATTCAGGTCTAAATCACAATCTGTTATATACACATATAATTAATTATTACTGTGGTACAATGACAGGTTGTGACCTCAGATGTTATGATGTTAGAATCACCTGTACCACTCGTTTTTCCAAATGTGGGCAAATTTTTTGCCTGAGAAAAATAAGTAATTCTCACTAAAAATAAGTATCAAATGGTTTAAAATTATTTATGTTTTGAGTTTTATACAGGAAATTGTAAAACAAGTTATCTACCTTGACAGGATCTTCCTGAGTCTTCAATTCAATTCATTTGCCACATACTGCAGGTTAATGCCCACATGTCAATGGGGATGGAGGAAAATAATCATAAGGATGAGTTTCCTTTTATTCACCCATTTCCTCTATTAAAGACATTTTGACTTTTCCTTCTGCAAGGATTTAGTTCCGCAGAATGCTCTGGTATTGTACCAAGAACTCACAGTTTAAGTATTTAACAGCCAGTCTATCCTCCTGCAATATCAAATCAAACACCTCCAGCAAGAATTGCTTTATATAGGAACAGGAGGAGACCATTCAGCCCCTCGAGTTTGTTTCCCCCATTCTATTAGATCACGGCTAATCTACACTTCAACTCCAATTAACCTGGAATACTAAACCCAATTATAAGTTCGCTTGCTAAGATCAGTCAACTCAAATCAGAATAGAAATCAAACCTGGAATGTTCACAATTTCTATGGTTCAGCATCTCACAAACCCATTGGGGAGCTGAACAAACATCCTTAAACAAAATTAACTTGCAGGACACGACAGGTTCTCTTGACTCGACTTGCAGTAATTAAATGGCGCCTTCTCATTCTTTTCCCAATTTAATAGAACTTAAAATGTGCCAGTTCACAAAAGTTGAATGAGACAGTCCATAAGAAAACATAGCAGGTGAAGGATGGACGATTGCAAAGAATGACAAAGACCCTCAATAAACAACAACAAATGATATTGTATAGCACCTTTCCCTTTTGATCCATCATTGCCCAAGACGGTGGTGTCAGCCTTCTCTTTAAAACATATGACTGTGATGTAGAATCATCAATGGAACTCTCAACCAAACAACATCATGGGAGAACCACTACTGCAAGGACTGCAGTGGTTTTGATCCATACAGGAAATTCCATGTACAAGAAGACAGATAGTAATGTCATGCTTGATGACAAACAGAGGAAATCATTACAGAACTAAGTATAATTCTGTATTACCATTTCTCCTGGTACAAAAACCCCCAAAAGCTAAAATATTTAAGAACAGAACACGTTGCAATAGATTACTAAGCAATGAATCAGTAAGAATCTTGGAACTCTTCCCACCTTTTACTGCAGTAAAAGATTTCAACTGGTCATATTATCTGTGCACAACAGGTGCACTGAATCTTCTTACACCACACCAACAAATAGTTGGCAAATCTGTTAAGCTCAATTCAAGTGCAACTTTTCAGGATTCAATTTAAAACGAGTCTTGACATTTCATTCTTCTATTCCTCCACCCATATCTGAATAATTTATAATCTGTGAGATAGTATTAAATTGAAGGTAAATTCAGTATTTGCTCAGATGGAGAGAATGGACAAATCATCTTGGCCACTTCTATGCATCTCTAGTAACCTTATTCAGACCCACTTTGACAATGACCTCCGAACAGTTTGCTCTATAAGAGTTTAGCCGACAAACGCTAAAGGAGGAAATATAATGAGAAAAGAATATTTGCCACAACCAGATTATTAAATTGTTACCATAGTTTAATTACTATACCCTGCTCCAAACAAGAGTTTAGTTACATGGATTGCATGTAAGTGTGTTTGTATTTATTCATTTGTGCTAGGGGAGGTAAGGAAAAGGAGAAAAAAAATTGCTCAAGTCTTCACAGTTGCCCACAATGCAAACTTACACAGTCTTCCCTCCAACATACTGCACCAACTACATGTGGGGAGGATTAGAGGGGAGGGAGGTAGAAATTCTGGTAGCTGAACATGGCAAGAGTTACATATTGCTGGGGTTATCTTTTGCCTAGTTGTTTAGTGCAACTAAATTCTGTCCAAAGCATCTTTAATGAATGTAGTGTACAGCAATGGTGGCCAATCTTTAGCTAAGGTGTGCCACAGTGTGAGCCCAAGACATATCGCCATGCCACTTAAATAAGAAATGCTAGACAAAAAAGACCAAGGTCCATCTAGTTTATCTTCCAATTTCCTGGCAGTTGCATGCACATATGTCCCAAACCATCTATGTACTATATCCCATAACGTTATTTCCTAAAAGAAAACTATCTAATCTGTGTTTGAAAGAATCAACACTTCCTGCTTCAACTGTCTCCCTAGGGAATCTGTTCCACAGGTTCACTATTCACTCACTGAAATAGTGATTTTTTTGGTAGATTCATTCTGAATTTACCCCCCTTCAGTTGCAGGCCATGTCCTCTGGTTCTGCTATTCTGGACACGTTGAAACAGCCTGTCATGATCTACAACAACAACAAAATGATGGATATATAGCACCTTTCACGTCAGGAGGATGTCCCAAGGCACTGGGCAGTCAGAATTTCGAACCCGAGCTTGGGTTCGGGATTGAGGAAGGTGGAGGGTGGTGGGGGAAGCTGAGTGATTGAGCAGGGCGGAGTCACGTGCATGCACGCAGAGTTACACAGGTACGCAGAGTCACACACTCTGACCACGTTTCCTGAGGGGACGTGTAACCATCAGTGAGCTTTGGTTCCCTCTCCTCCTCCATGGCTCCCGATTGATGGTGCCTCACCAGGCCTCTCCCACAGGAAGGTGCGGCACTGAGAGCGGGAGTCTGAAGTCGCCCATCCTGAGTACACACAGCTGCTGGTGACCCCAGCACAGAAGGGTTCAGGGGCCATGCCATGCTACTTAACACATTTTATGGCTGGAGGCCTATTGATGGTACTGGAGCTCTGACAGGAAGAAGTCAGAGGCAGAGAGAAGTGACTGCATTCATATGCAGAACCCCATTGACCATGGTGGTTTGGAGGTATTAAAATTGGTTGCTGCTGAACACTTCTGGAATCACAAGGTCAATGGCAATGTCAATTCCTGCATGTTATTCAGACACTTCTGATGATTCACATCCACTGGGCATGTTATAATAGGGCCGTCTTCTGCATTAGTTATTTAGTCCTCTTCTGCGAAAGCAGGTGAAATCAAGAACTCCCAAAGGAGCAGCCTGGAGATGCATTTGTTAAAACAAGTCAGGACATGGAGAACTGAAATAANTTTTTTACCTATGGATAAAAAGCATTTTAATACGAACTTGCGTATCATTTAAAATTACTGCTGATTGATACATTGTGCAAAGTTACTTTAAAATAATTTATCTTGCTATACAAGTGACCAAATACCTACCTTACTACCTATACAACTCACGCCTTCATACCGCCATCTTAATTTTCCAGCTGACATACTGCCAGTTCCATACTTATAGTTCTATTCTAACCCCTTATTCACCTGTCCGATCCCTCCGCCCAACAGTCTCCGGCCTGCTCCATATCCATGGCTAGGCCTGCCCCACCATCGACGATTGGGCCTTCAGCCTCTCTGCCCCCGCCCTCTGAAACTCCATCCCACATTCCTTTTGCTTTGCTCCCTCCCTCGCCTCCTTGAAGGCATGCCTCAAGACCCTCGACCATGCCTTTGGCCACCCTCTCCGCCCTCCCTGATCCAAACCCTAACTGCCCGCTCAGGTCCAAATCCCTCCAACGTAAAAGGCGCTTTACAAATGTAATTTTGCATTATATTTTGTATTGTTTTCTCATTAACATTTACTTCTAATTTACAAGTCTGTAATTTGGGACTCACTGACTGCACATATATCCCAGGAATACAAAATACATTGAAAAAAAGTTCCAGTATTATAGGTTGGTATTAGTAATTATCCGGTATTTTTTACCATATCATATTGTAGGGAGCAAGTATTAACCGTGAGCAGCAGTGTGAAGGGTTGGAAACAACAACAAATTACATTTATACAGTGCCTTTCAAGTTGGGAGGATGTATCAAGGTGCTGGACAGTCGAGAATGTGCACCTGAGCTGAGGGTTAGATTCAGGAGGGATTGGGTGGGGAAAAAAGACGACTAAAGGTGCTGTCAGAGGGGAAGGTCTTAAGATGGACCTTAAAGGAGGCAAGGGAAGGGGCAAACCACAAGGTCTCCAAAATGGAGTTCCAGAGAGTCTCTCTGATAAGAGTTCCCAACCAAAAACATTTTTGCAGTGCACAAACAAAAATTATCACTTTTTTTAAATATAAACGGAGGTAGACAAAGCATCAAATTTACTGAATTAAACTGTAAACCAAAAAGCCGAATGTAAAGCACAAATGCTCATGTTGTCTTTCATGGTTTACTGCTGTAAACATCCGTTTCTTTAATAGCTTCAGTGGAAGGTTAGTGCATAAAGCACATTATAAACGACTTACTTAGTTTGAGATGCTTGCCTCGGCCATGTTCCATCATCATTCTTCAGTTCTATTACTAACACCTGGAAAGAGAAGATGTCATTATACTGAATGGACAACAGAGGCACAATATCTGCACAGTTAAGGTCATCTAAAAAACAGATTCTGCTTGTTAAATTTCTCTTTATATTACTACTAATAAATAATCCTTGCATTTGATATAGTGCCTTTCACGTTTTCTAGATGTCTCAAGACGCTTCACAGAATAGACTGTAAAGTGAATTGACTGCATAATTGTGGGCGAAACGCGGCAGCCAATTGCGCACAGCAGTGTCCCACAAACAGTTGTGAATTGAAGTGACCAATTTATTATTATTTTTTTTCTTGAGGGATTATTATCAGGCGTGTAGAGTAAGGAATCTTGCCCAAGGTTTCAACCTGCCGGGAATCGAATTCAGGTCTCCCGCTTGTGAGGCCAGTGCTCTAACCACTGAGCTACAGGACTCCACACTATGCACTATTTACCCAACCAAGACAGCGAGAAACGCTTAGCCTCTTCTTGGGTGTTTTCCTTTCCCCTTAACTTAACAAGACAGTGAACTTGCACATAAGAAATTACAAGTGAACTTTGAAGTGAAGACCATTAGTTCAACAACATGAAATGTCACCAGCACAATTTCGAGGATATATTAATGCCAAATGAAAGCAGCCCGGATTTTAATTCTCTACCCTCCTTGAGCTGTTCTCTCCTGGTTCTCCACGTGCATTTGCTGTATCCAAGAGAGATGGATCTATTCCTGGATCTGATAGCCAGTCAGGACTTAACATAAATTAATATAATTACATGTTACATATTTCACGTCTCTCCGGCATGAAAAGGCGCTATATAAATGTAATTTGTTGTTGTTGCCATAACCAACTCTCCCCTCCACCTTTCGGCAGCTACATGAAGTTTTAGCACCGGCACTTGTGCCAACTAAAATCACATGCCATTGACCCAAAGTTTCTCTACCTCTACTGCCCCTGCCCCCCAAAAAAACAAAAACATGCACAACCACCAGAGAATGATTTCACACGCTGGTAGTGGCAAATTTAAATTAACCCCAGGAAACAAGTACTCCTAAAGCATTGGCAAGAGTCTTTCCTCAGTCACCGTTATTGGTATTTCTTAAAAACGTTTATAGCTACTCAACAATCTAGTGCATCATGCCATACAAGTCTCAGGTTCAAATCTAGGTCCATGTCAATTTAACCAATCTCAGTTGTCTTGAGGTACTACAATTAAATTTAGCATATTTGATTTACAGAAAGGGGACAAAATAGCAGGGTACTCATTACCCACTAATCCTTGCTGTAAAGTGTTTATGTAGATTATGGATGAGATCTAGATTGAGGTTGGCTGGGTCTACTTCCTTCCCCCCGTCCATCTCTCAAATGGCCACTGTTTAAGTTGGCAGATGAAAAATGGGCACTTGGATGAGGTACTGGAAGCATCCAAAATCTGTCAAACAGCACTAAAGCACATCAGAACATTCCCAGTCACTCCGCCTCACCCCTTCCTTAGCCTCCAAGTCCCGCCTCAAGACCCTCCTCTTTGACTATGCCATCGGCCACACCCCTTCCCCTCCCCTCCCCCCCCCCCCCCCCCAACCCCAGCTCGGGTCTGAAATGCTGTACACTGTCCAGCGCCTTGGGACATACTCCCAGGGTGAAAGGCGCTATATAAATGTAATCTTGTTGTTGTTCTATGTTTATCATTAGGCTAATCTTTGAATGGCTACTGTGTCCATTCAAGTTTCAATTGTTAGCTCATTTTATTTATATACAGTGGAATGTCAGAGACTCTGTGTGTGTGTGTGTGTGTGTATATATATATATATATATATGAATGTGAGAGAGACAGAGAAGCTTCAGAGTGAACGAGCAAAAAGGGAGGAAAAAGACTTGGGAGAGAGAAAATTACTGGAGGAAACAAAAAAAAAGCTGGCACAGTATCTTATAAAAGTGTAACTCCTGATTGAAGAAGTTTTGGTCTATGCTAGAACCAATCTGTATTTTGCATGACGACCCATTATCTATCTGCATTGTTTCTGTATCCGGGTTAGGGCTGGTTCCAATAACTGGCTCCCTACTGTTATGAATGATGCATCTTAGAACAGTTAGGCTGAGGCAAACGTTAGAAAATCTATTCCACTGAATTTCCAAGGTTCTTTAAACAATAAAGCCAGAAGAGAGGAAGGTGATTCTGATAAACCAACCATGATTCTCATACAGTATACAGTATTAGTATTATACAGTATACAGTATTAAACACTGCTTTGCTCATGAATGCACATATTTTTAGGAGGAAATATCTACCTCTTTTTTTTGATGGAATACCATTCTGGAATTAAAGACAATTACAAGCCATATTCAGCCAAAGGTGGTCCTTCAAATGAATTGGCAGTCTTCTGTTGCGTGTCTCCTGCATTAAGTATTTTCACCATCTTTCACTCATAATAACTGTGGATTACCAATTAGGGATTTGGTTCGTTAGATTGAGGGCATGTTTCAACTTCGGAGTTTCATTGATTAAACAGTCAAGCTAATGATCAACCATTAGCAATGTCTTGATTATTTGCATCTACATGGCTTTGGCAGGCATATCTCCTCAGCACCAGATCAACCTTCAGAAGCCCAACCTGCCGAGTTATCTGATTTAACAATCCATCCAAATCTATCTTGCAGCAATTATGGTCTCTTATGATCGAACCCCCTGAAGTTTGTGAACGGATAGGAAAACCAGCAGCTGTTTGAATTTCAATCTGCTTACTCCATGGCTAAGTCCTGGGCAATATCAGGTAATGTTTCCATTGATGACATTTGGAAAGCAGTCATATTGAGGCATCCACAAAACACTTCAACTGTTCCAATCTGGCATTCAGCCAAATGTAGTCCTCCAAGTGCATTAGCTGTCTTCTGCTGTACGTCTCCCGTGCTAAGTACTTTCATCATCTTTATAAATCATGGTAACTGTGGACTACTAATTAGGATTTTGACTTGTAGGATTGAGGGCATGTCTTGACTTCTCAAATGGAAACAGCATTTGTCAGGTCTATTCTCTCATTCCCAGTTACTACTGGGTTAATATCCTACACTCCTTTAGTGTCTTTCTTTTGCTGAATGCAGTATGCTCCATGTGTGTAACTGCACTCTCAACTGACTGTTAAAAGTTCTGTAGGGAGTGCTCCATTTTGAGTGGGGTTTAGCCAAAATAAATCACCATTGCATTGCATGCACACACTTATAGTGTGTAGGAGCAGACAAAATTAATAATAATAATCCTTGACTTTCCTATAGTGCCTATCACAACATGGAGACATCTCAAAGTATTTTAAAGGATTCACGTGAAGTGTAATAACTGTACATTTAATAGACAAATGCAGCAGCCAATTTACACACAGCAATATCTCACAAAGAGCCAAGATCTGAATGACCAATTTTATTTGGGGGATTATTGGTCAGGAGAAACTCCCTTCTCTTTTCAAACAGTGCAATGGATCTTTAACGTCCACCTGAACAGGCAGACGGGACCTCGGTTTAACATCTTATTTGAAGGACAGCTTCTTCAAGAATGCAGCACATCCTCAGCCCTGCAATGGAGTGTCAGCCTAGACTTAGCTCAAAGTCCCAATGTGGGGCTTCAACCCAAAACCTTTCGATTCAGAATTGAGCCAGGCTGACACAAATGGTGCAGGCCAGTCTTGAAAAATCTCAAAGAGCAACACCTCGTGGCTTCACCAAGATGTGATACAGGTCTTACTTTTCCATCTGGGTGTGAAGAATACTATATTCAAAGAATTAAAGCACTACCAGGTAAACCATCTTGCCCTTAGCTCTTCCCAGGAGTGAGAATACAATTGATTAAAGATACATTATCACACAGAATTTGTCTAATTATGTCAGATATTGATTTTTTTGTTATTCAATATTAAAGACTTGTATCATGTGGTGTTTGTGCTCAAAACACTCAAAAAAAAGTCAGCTTGCCGTAATAGCAGAAAAGCACTTTATATGAAAAATTTACACAGCTCTAAACACCAGATGCTTCTCTGAATCACAAGACAGCAGTTCTATGTCTGAGATCAGAAGTAAAAGCACTTATGTATGACTCAGTTCATTTCATCATGCGGACCCTTCAAATTGATTGCCGTCTTGTAATTCATCAACAGCCATCCACTATCCTATTTGAAAATAGCAAAAGGATATCTTACAGTCACTCAGTACTACAGAATGACAGCAAGTCTCAAATAAAAGACTTATATTTAAAAGTTTTTTTTAAAATTGCTACTAAGACTATTTTGTTTCCAACACTGCTATTGGCCTACCTGCCTGATCCACCAAACTGCTTCAGATCTCTGGTGCAGGATTCCTGTAACTTTCCAAATAAATGCATCCTATTCTCCATTTTCAGGCTGCTCCCTGTACTGAATGTCCTGGTTTCCCGCAATCCTAGTCATGTAATCCACTTCCCATTTCAATATAGAGCTGACTGAGCGCTGGACACCATCTTAGATATTGGGGGTTCACTGTCTGTATGCTGCATGGATTTTAAAAGTTTCACAAGTCTCCATAAAACATAAATATTGCAAGCGATTAATTTAGACATAACAGTGGTTGGCATGTTTACCCTGCTTCCCCCACCCCCTCTCCGTTTTTGCTAGTAACATCATTTCAGTAAAAAGTCAGTATTCCTTATGCTTTGTCAAAAGAATCACTTGAAAATAGAAGCAAATTTTCAATACAGTAAAACTCGCGTAAGTCTTATCTTTATATATATCATATAATCAACAAAGTTGTACATACACCCGTCCCATTGAGTTTCCTATCCACTACCTAGGTTTCTTTAGTTGTATTAATCATCTCCTAACTCAGAATGCTGCTCCCCTGCCCTGCATTACTCCCGCACTTACTGGCTGCATTGAATTGCAAGAAACAGTCTTGATCTGTTGCTACGTGTGCAGAAGAACCTAATTTCCCGTGATTCAATGCAATGCCAATGCTTGCCGGTAAGTGTGCAAACGGCGGGCAATGGGTTAAGACGCATAGAATCGTGGGAAATGTAGTCTCGACCATTCATTGCATGCCAGTTACTAGTTGCAATGAATTACACACGAGCAGTGTACATTCGTGATTCAATTGGAATTTATACGATTTATAAAAGTTTGCCTGCAACTCGGACTTTGCACAATAAATATTATAGTCCTGACTGATGCAATTTATGTGAGTTTTACTGTACATCACATTTATATAACTTAGCAATTATATAGATCAGATATCATGTTTCCCCTTTCCTTAATTTACCCTTCCAAGTTGAAGTGGAAATTGAAAAACATGAAAAATGATAGCCACTTATATCTGAGATGACTCAGTGTATACAATCTCCAGTAAAATGTTACACTGTCCGAAGACAACTTTGATTTTCCTAACTTGTTTCTGGCATCTTGATTACACTGACACCCGGTTGTAAAACTGGCTTATAATATAAATTCACAAATGTAGATTATATGAGAATCTGCCACCACAAAGAGTAAATTACACAGGTGCCTCAAAACGTGACACTTTAACTCACTTTAATAGAATGCAATCTATTACCTCTAGGTTGTATTATGTTTTCAGCACTTAATGTTTGTTTCTATGGAAGTTGTGGAAGGGGGCGGGGAGAGAGAGGAGGAAGAGAAACACACAAAAGCCGGTACAATCTTGTAAATACCTAAACATATTCCCATGTTCCATTAGGTTTTTATCTCACACTAGTACTGTTTTTTCCAATCTTCACTCGCACTCAATAATTTTCAGAGTATAGTAAAATGCACTACCCACCTGTCCCTGGTAGAGACCAGCATCTTGCACGGTATTGTCTGGCTTATTGAGCTGTTCGTACGTATTTGTCATGTACCTATTCCACAACCTTGTTTCCTTTTCTGCTGAGATATCGAATAGCTTTCGCATCTCTTTTTCTATTGTATCTATTAAAAAACACAATTGCTACCATTAGTATTAAAAAGATGAATAAGCTACAAGGAGAATATTAAACAGTAAAGAATATTAGATCACAACAGTTCCAATTGGGAAGCTGTGACCTTCCTTAATCTGTAGTCTTTCAAAATACAAGTTCATCTATATACCACTTCCTGAAACATACAATTCCTGTCAATCAGTCTATCAAATCCCATCAACTGAAATCTTTGACCACAATACAACTGTGGAATTTGAAGCAAAACTCCTAACTGCTCAGGGTAGTTCTACTTACAAGGTTACACGGAAAGGATACCTTTAACTAACCCCTGGGCAAGCCTCTGTTTAGAAACATTGCCCAATGTCCTTCAGCAAAAAAAGCCTAAAATACAGAAGTGTCTTAAATTATTTAAATCTGCCAATATTAAATACTACATTCCTAAAACATTGACATTTATTCTACAGCTAAAAACTGTAAGGACTAATACAAAGTTTAAATACAAATTGATACTGAAGAAACTTATGGTAAAAATGAAGCATCAGTTTTTCAGGAAACTGAAGAGTTAAGTAAAGTGAATCAAAGTAAATACCTCGTAATTCACTAACTGCTCAGACTGAAATTAAAGTCAACTTCCAAGTAAAATCATCATTAACAAGAAGGCACAAGTGATAACCAGAGGATCGAATTCAAGATCCTCATCCTCACCTACAAGGTCATTCACGGCCTCGCTCCCTCCTACCTCTCCGACCTACTATCCCCCTACTTACCTGCCCGTACCCTCCGTTCCTCTGGCTCCGGTCTGCTCCACATCCCCCGCCCCAACCACCCTACCATTGGTGGCCGGGCTTTCAGCCTCTCAGCCCCTAGGCTCTGGAACTCCATCCCCCAGTTCCTTCGCCGCTTCCTCCCTTTCCTCCTTCAAGACCGGTCTCAAGACCTTTCTCTTCAACCGTGCCTTCACATCCCCTCTCAACTCTCTACCCTCTACTTGCTCCCTCCCTTCCCTCACCCTGACCATTTCCCCCCTGGTCGGGTCCCGATCCAATTGTCCAGCGCCTTGGGACGTCAACAACAACAACAAGATTCCATTTATAGAGCGCCTTTCACGTTGGGAGGACGTCCCAAGACGCTATAGAGTTGGGTCAGGACCCGAGCAGGGGGGAAATGGTCAGGGTGAGGGGAGGGAAGGGAGGGAGCGAGGAGGGGGTAGAGAGTCGAGAGGGGAGCTGAAGGCTCGGTCGAAGAGAAAGGTCTTGAGACCGACCTTGAAGGAGGAAAGGGAGGAAGCGGCAAAGGCACTGGGGGATGGAGTTCCAGAGCCTCGGGCCTGAGAGGCTGAAGGCCCGGCCACCGATGGTAGGGCGGTTGGGGAGGTGGATGTGGAGCAGACTGGGGCCAGAGGAACGGAGGGTACGGGCAGGTAGGTAGGGGGATAGTAGGTCAGAGAGGTAGGAGGGGGCAAGGCCGTGAATGGCCTTGTAGGTGAGGATGTGGATCTTGACCCTCCCGACATGAAAGGTGCTCTATAAATGCAATCTTGTTGTTGTTGTCCAAAATTGTGTTCAGATTAACCACAGGTTGACACACTAGTAAAAGTGCACACAAGTGCATAAAGTAGGATATGGAATGATGGAATCTTAAAAGTAAGTAAATTAAGTAGTTATGAAATGTTTGTCACATGAATGGAATGCATTTTAAACAGGTCTATCAAATATAGTATCATAGCACAAGCAATGATATTCTTCAAGTAGGGAAAACAAGTTGCATGTAACCTGCACCTTATGTGCACAGAACAGTTGGGTCAATACACATATGTATTAAATAATGTCAAAAAATCTTAAAGAAGTGTGCCTTTGAAATCTTCAATAGTCCAATCTACATAGAACAACTCATAATATTTGGAGAAGCTTGAGAACAGGGAATGCAAGATATTGTACACTCAGTCACCCTATGTAGGCAACATTGTGCATTTAATTCCTCTGTATAATGCTGACATTTTGAATTTGCATGCCACCATGTGCTTTTGCAGCCCAATGCCTGAGATCTGAGAACTGAGATCCACTAGTACTTTTGTAGATATTAACCTTGAGTTGTCACATTTAGTATTCCAAGTAAAAATTACACGTTGTCCTTAAGAACAATCTCCAAATGGAAGCAATGAGAGGGACATTTTTTAAAGATTCCCACACACTTACCTGCGATTTAATTAAATGTCAAAACTTCAATGAAAATCCACAATATTCATATCAACACATAATACACATTTTAAAAAGATCAGTGAAATGACTTTACCTATTGTATCTGCTTTGCTGAAATGACGCGTCACCACATTGTTCATATTATTGTTCTCACAGAGTTTCAGTTCTAGAAGGTAAACCTCCACCTTACAGTGCTTTACAAACATTCCATGCTCAACCACCTGAAATCAGAAACCAGTACTGCATTAGAAACACTATGGTGACAAGCAGCAAGATTATAGTAGTAAAGATCTCAACAAAGTGGTTACATTTGGCTTAAATGAATTTAGCATTTTCAACCAGAGCAGCTTTGGTTAAAACAGAGGACCATTTTTAAATGGCTCTATGTGTTGAGGTGGTGAGGTGTCTCAGAGGAACCACAAAGTTGTAGGTAGAATTAAGAGTACACATGATGCCAAAATACATAAGATTAATCTTTGGCAACAGAATTCATTTTTACTATATGCCAAAAGCAAAAGCATTCAACAAAACTAAAAACTTAGTAGTAAATGGTAGTAAATACAATCATAGACAACAAAACCTGGGAATTTACTCAGTGAACAGCATTTCTGCCAAATTCCCAAAAGCCAAATTCTATCCAATTAATAGTCCTATCCAATATAAAGTGTACAATCAGTAAAGATGCTATTTTGGGGGGCAAACAATAGTGAAAATGTTCATAACTTTAGTGTGATTAAACTAAGATGCACAACTTAGTTTAGAAAAAAAAATTCATCTATAAATTAGGACATTCAGTAAATGATATTGCATACATTCTTACCTTTCGTTCTATGGTCTCCTGACCCTCAACACAACCATACCAACTGACCATCTTGTTCCAAGCTTCAGTTGGAACCAAGACATAATCCAGCTCATCAATAAGGTGCTCCTTCAAGGCCTGCGACTCTACATCTGGAAGAATTAAAAATGACAAATCGGGATCATACAAGAACAGAATGAAAATCTGATCGCCCAAGTCTCTAGGCATTTAGGTAAGGTACAAGAGAGGACACTAAAGATGCAGAATATTTTCCACTGCCTTAAAAAAAACAAGAGTAGTGTGCCATGAATGGCCCTGAAAGAACCACAAGAGGATAGTTCATTTTAAACATTAGAGACTCAAAAGGATGTTGCACCTTTGAGAACACTCCCAAACTGTTGAACGTATAAACTGGAAGGGTATAGGGAAAATACAATACAAAATTACATTTGTATAGCGACTTTCACGTCAGGAAGATGTCTCAAGGAGTTGAACAGTCAGGAATTTGGACCTGAGCTGGGGTTCGGTATCAGGGAAGGTGGAGGGCAGGAAGGGTGGCTGAAGGCTCAATCGAAAAGGAGGGTTTTGAGGCGTACCTTGAAGAAATCAGGGAAGGGAGCGAGGTGAAAGGAATATGGGATGGAGTTTCATAAGGTGGGGCAGGAAGACTGAAGGCTCAACCCCTGATGGTGGGGCGGGGCGGGCATGAGATGTGAAGCAGAGGGAGCGGACAGGATGATACAAGGTCAGCAGGTCGAACAGGTAGGGAGGGCAAGATCTCAAGGGCCTTGAAGGCGAGGACAAGGATTTTGAACTGTATCCTCTGAAGAATGGAGAGCCAGTGGAGCCTGGTGAGGGTGGGGGTGATGGGATCATGGAGCCTGGTGTGGGAGAGGACACGAGCTGCAGAGTTCTGGATGATCTGCAGCTTGTGGAGGTAAGAGTTGGGAAGCCCGACAAGCAGGGAGTTGGCGTAGTCGAGTCTAGACGTGATGAATGCATGGGTGAGGGCTTTGGCAACCTGAAGGGTGAAGCAATGGCGGAGCCGGGTGATGTTGCGGAGGTGGTGGAAGGCACAGCGGGTCATGGCACAGATGTGGAGTGACCCACATGTAAACGAAAAGGCAGGTAAATGGGACTGGGGGAATTGCTCCATCAAAAAGCCAGCAGCCACAATGATTAGATTCAAATGTGCAGTAATTTCTTATGATTCTACAAACTCCGAAGGTTGCTCATAGCGTGACAGTCAATTAATGCTCACTGTCTCTTTTAACTTCCCATATTGCAATTTTATCTCGACCGTGAAATACATGTCTTTATTTTTACTTTGTACAAACAACTTTGCAATTGTCTGTACTGAACTTCATTTGCTAATAATCTCACAGCTGCAAGGGTCTATTTTATGATAATGGCTGCCTCCTCTGATTCCAGTAACCCCTAACATAGTGTCCTTCCTTTCAGCCAGTTACTAATCCTCGTCCATCTCTTCCCAATGATACCAGTTTTGGATAGATAGGAAAATTCTAACAATTATATCCCAAATATTCATATGATGTACTGCTCTTTGCTGAAAGACTACTCTAAATATTCCTGAAAGGATTACATGAATACAAATTCATTGAATGTCTCCTAGAAAACCAGACCTTAGCTATGTGGTCACATGAACAATACCACTAGTTAGCAGTTATCAAACATAACAAGGAGAATTACATGGCTAGCAACTGCAGCTATTCTAAACCACACAGGCACATGAACAGCAGCGAGCAAGGATATCAGGCAGTCGCTGTACAGTAATGACCTCTGGATGCACTTTAGTCAAGAGGTCTGTTTCAGCAGTTCTATTTTAGAAAGTATACTCAAAATATCCTAAAAAATACTAACAGCACAGAGGGGCAAAGAGAATAGGGTTTCATACTGCAGAAACAAAAGACACACAACACACAGTTTATAGGTACTGGTACTGACTAATTCAATTTGAATCTAATCAACCGGGGTGTACAGTATTGCAATGAGACCGTCATGTGAAAGAACTTCAGTATTACAATGCTAAAGGCTTGGCTAGATACAGCGGAACACAGAGGCCAAGCAGAATAGATTTCCAGTGATGCCATGATATCAGAGCATGTAATTCCAATACATCCAAGTTGAAAATATAAAGACGACACTAAATAATGGAATGGCCTCTCCAGGCCACTCTTTCACAGCAGCAACACAACTTGCCATTCATAAATACCTCAGAGCAGGGTTGGAGAGCAAGGGAGAGGGAGGAGGTGTCCAAAGCCCCGGTCAAAAAGGCAAGTCTTCAGGAGGGATTTACAATTGTCCTATTACAGACTTGCCCCTGCCCATTTAACCCCTCAGTGGGAAAGTACTACATAAATTCTTCCTGTTCTCTCTATAGGAAGCATTAAATAAAACCCCAGATTATCTAAAGATCCGCATATCTCCATTATTACCCTTGGCATGCTGTTGGTCACATGAAACACCCTCCCAACCCCGGCAGCACAGATGTTCTGGCTGCTTTTTACAGGTTAGTTGAGAGAGCACCAACTGTTTTTTCTGTGTTTACCATGTTACCCTATACAAAATTTCCTTCTGATCCCTAGTCTTTGCTCATAACATCCCAAAATAGTTAGTGCTTTTCTCTAAATCCTTTCTAAGATCCTTTCAGGCAAATGTTCGCAAAATATGGCTTCTACCAGATAACTTAATAACAGTGGTCTTTATAACAGCTTAGAATAATTTTAGCCAAATACTTTCATCGTACAACCTAGTATTGGAGTAACTTAATTATGGATTGACATGGAGTGGAAACATTGGGTAAATGATTAATAATCACACCCAAATTGGTTTCCTTCTTTGTTAAAAGTTACATTTTCATCATGAAAAGCTTCACGGATCCTAATATGGATTACTTTACAGAATCCATTTGCCATTCTTTAACCCTACTACATGCACCTTTGGAATGTAGAAATAAAAAGTCCTGGAATCCCCAGCAGGTCATTGAGAAACATACCCAATTTATAGGTGATTTTAGCCGAGGAAGGTAAAAACAATAAAATAATCCTTGCATTTGATATAGCGCTTTATTATTTTGTTAAGACATCTCAAAGCACTTTAAAGGATATACAATAAAGTGGTGTCACTGTATTTTGTGGGTGAACGTAAAAGCCAATTTGTGCATAGCCATGTACCACAAACAGCAGAAAGATGACTGAAAGTGCAGAGATTTATTTTAGAGAAAGAAGAAGCCTGTTTCTGTTCTGTAATATTCTATGATAAAAAAAATCAAAAACATCCAAATTGGCGTGATTTGTAATTTTTGTTGGAAAATTGTAGTTAGATTGTAATTAGATGGTGACTGGTTTCAGATTTCTAATCTGAATGGCACTAAATTAAACCACATGCTGTAGATAGAATTCTCAATCTGAGCAATATTATAATAATAATCCTTGCATTTGATATAGCGCTTTTTACATCTTCTAGACGTCTCAAAGCGCTTCACAGAATAGACTGCAAAGTGAATTGACTGTATATTTTGTGGGTGAAACGAGGCAGCCAATTGCACACAGGAGTGTCCCGCAAACACTCATGGATTGAGTGACCAAATTATAATAATTTATAAATTATTACAAAATTAATAATTTATAATTAATTATAATTAACCCGGGCGCACACACACAGCCCGGAACTCGGGTGTAATATTGCTATGCACTTTCCCAGCGCTTTGGGATGTCCTCCCGACGTGAAAGGCGCTCTATAAATGGAAGCTTGTTGTTGTTGTTGCTCAATTTCAGAGCAGCCCTGGCAGAATACTAATCAATTATATTAATATACTGATTAAAACCATTTTAAATTTAGTCAAATGACTTTGTAAAAAGGAAACAAAACCAAAAATCTGAAGTCATGCACTAAGGAGTGGGGTTAACTGCCATTAAGGAACACTAGGGAGGGAGATATACACACTAACAATAGACATAAAAAATGGGAGGGCAACTTGATAAAGCTCATAAAAATAAAGCTGACGGGATCCTAGTTTTTATAAATAGCAACACAAAGGTAATGCTAAACTTGTACAAAATCATGATTGGGCCGCAGTTGAAGTATGTCAAGCTCGCACAACAACAACTTGCACTTATATAGCGTCCTCCACGCAGGGTAGCATCTCAGAGCGCATAAAAGGTACCAGAAATGGTACAGAGAAGATTCCCTGGAATAATACCAGGGATGTGAGGTTCTATTTATCAAGAGAGAAGAGAGAACAATTATTTCATGAGGATAGACAATGCTAAGAATCTGATAGAGGTTTTCAAAATTGAGAGGACTTGATAAGGCAACCTGAGAAAAAGCTTTCCAGTGGTCAGTCACTCAGAGACAAATTCAAGATCATTACCCAAAAACAAAAGGCGAGGTTAAGAATTTTATGATGTATAAGAAGGTTCTTAGGACATGAAATGCCATAAACAAAGACAGTGGTTGAAACAAAGTCCTTGAGAGCTTTTAAAAAGAAATTGGAGAAATTGAATCTAGTTTAATTTTTTGAGGCGGTCCCTTACGTGGAGGATAGGAGTGCCTATGGAAGTTGTCTATATGGACTTTCAGAAGGCATTTGATAAGGTTCCGCTCAAGAGATTATCAGCAAAAATGAAAGTGCATGGAATTGGAACAACAAAATAGACATGGTTGTGACATGGTTGGTAATTGGTTGGGAGTCAGGAGACAGAAAGTAGGAATAAAGGGAACGTTCTCTAATTGGTGGGATTTAACAAGTGGTGTTCTCCAGGGGTCTCAGCTTTTCACTATATACAGTGGACGCCGGTTAGCCGGACAGATCAGAGCAGGACGTTTTGTCTGACTTAAGCGGCATCCGAGGCTAACCAAAGTTCCATTACCTCTTCCCGCCCCAGCAGAGGAGCGGCAGCGGCGCCTCCTCCTGCCCACTGCTGTTCCCAGTGGATGGGAAGTGGACCAATTAGCGAAGGCTCTGAGGTGATTGACAGCCTTGGAGCCGTTTGCGAATGGATAGGCACTCCAGCCATTAACAAGCAGCTCTAGCTGTCAATCAATCCTGATTTGACTCCTCCTATCTCCATCCTGGAGCTGCTCGAGACACAGAATGTATGACGGAGTACATTCAGCAGTGACTGCCGCTCCTCCGCTGGGCATTTTGTCCAGATTAAAAACATTGTTATACGAATGCATCGGGGCCGGGTGTCTCGTCCAATATTGATATAGATATATTATATATCACTAGTAAAACAACAATTTCTGTCTGCGTTTCAAGAAGGATTTCAATAACTGATTGACGTAGAGACATGATTTATACCTCATTGGAATGGCCTTGTATCTAGCAGTAACATGGTCATATTTGTTTTCGGGTAATTCCTATCGTTCATGAGTTATTTTTAGTTTTGTGTTTTTCGCTGCAGTTACACCTGGCGGCTGCCGATCGAAGTGGCACTGTGGCATCTCGCGTCTCAGGACACCTACGTATGTACGCGCACATACCCCTAGTGGCCACACCGGCTGACTATGTCGCGGTGGCATTGTGCATCACAGCGCACGTACCATATGTATGCACACGCTGCAGTTACACCTGGTGGCAGCGCCGGCTAACAGTGGCGCTGTGGCATCCTGCGTCAGAGTACACACAAGGCCAAGTGGCGGGATCAAAATAAATAACGCAGATGAAGCTAAGTCGCGGCAACCACAAAAAATTACATTTTTAAAGCGCCGAGTCCACCCACTGAGTCCTCCCACAGGAGTCCTCCTCGATGAATATAGATAAAGATGAAATGTCTGTATGTCAATCTACATTCCAAATTGGATCCTTTAGTTGCAAGCATAGCTGCAACGTGTACAGCTAGTACATCTATAAATGACTTGGATGAAAGAATAAGAGTTATGTATCCAAATTTGCAGATGACACGGGAGGAGGCGCAGTTAGTTGTGTAGATGGGAGCAGGAAATCACAAAGCCACATAGGCCGAGTTGGCAAAATTGTGACAGATGTTGGGATGTGTGAGGTCATCCACTCATCTTAATGGTGAGAACCTGGGAACTATGGAGGGGCAAAGGGTATCCATGGCCATAAATCACTAAAAACTAGTTCACTGGTACAAAAAGTAATCAAGAAGGCTAATTAAGTGTTGGTGTTTACCTCAAGTGGGCTGGTATACAAAGGTGGGGAAATTATGCTTCAGTTGTACAGAGCCTTGGTCATACCCCATTTGAAATGTGAATTGAAAACTAATCTACTGTGTTTAGTTTTCGGCATCACACCTCAGAAAAGATATTGACCCCGGAGGGGTTATAGTGCAAATTCACCAGGGTATGAGGGTTAAATTATGAGGACAGATTGCATAAACTGGTCCTGTATTCCCTTGAGTTTAGATGTTTGAGGTGTGATCTAATTAAAGTGCTTAAAATAATAATGGGTTTGATAGGGTGGTCCTATCGTATATACACAGAAACTATTTCTTCTGGTCGGGGAATCCAGAACAGGGGGGCATAATCTTAAAATTAGAACTAAACCTAAATTTAAGAGTGAAATTAGGAAGCACTTTTTCACACAAACAGAAGCAAATCTGGAACTCTCTCCCCCAAAAGGCTGTGGATGCTGGTTCAATTCAAATATTCAAGACTGAGGTCGATAGATATTATATATGTAAGCATATGGAGTAAAGGAGGGTAAATGGAATTGAGGTATAGATCAACCTTGATCTAATAGAATGGTAGAATAGGCTTAAGGAGCTGAATGGCCTACTGCTTTCTCATGTTCCTATTAACTGAAAAGTGGAGAAAACGCAGAGGAATGGAACTGAACATATAGCACTGTAGAGAGATATACAAGTATAATGGACTGAATGGCATTCTTATGTGATGAAACATTTGGCTCGCAAAAGCTGGTGATTTTCCCCACACAAGCCTCTAATCATGCTCGCAAACTGCTTCTCATACCCTTTAATATTACTTCCCTTTTAAACTAATTTAAGTACTCTTAACATTTAACAAACATTTAAGAAAATTCAAATAATATCAGATTTTGCAGGAAAGAAAACTATTTGAGACCATTCAAGAAGTTTGCACAATTTTCCTTGGCCATTTTCAGTTATGAAGAAACCTCCAACATTAAAAATATGAAATAATAAATCTACAAAATGGAATTCTGAAAAATAAAAGCTGAAAGATCCAGGTAATTTTGGAGATGAACACCTAATTGTGTAGGCTAACATCAGAAAATACATATTTTGCTTTAACCAATCATATTAACAATCACTATCTGGATCTAAGAACACATAAGTTATGCACAGTGCTTAAGCACTGACATTAAATTCAGTTAGTCAGACCTACTTTTTTTTTAGGGTCAGCCAAGTGTCTGACGCATGCAGAAACCCATCACCAGTTGGTGTTTTCAAACCAAACATGCACCCATCTACCCATGGAAATTCCTGTGAATGGAATGCACTCTCTCCCTGGAGGGATGCATTCTTCTTACTCTCTTTCACACTCCCATCCACCCCAAAAGGAGAATACCTTTTCAAAGAAAGACATCTCATAGTTGCAAAAATGTCCTTTGGATCTTCAGTTGTAAATTCAGTACAGTAATGTGCGTTCTAATGCAATAATTCAGTGTGAAAGATACAATGTTTACATCTACATTATTATGAAATTATGTTTAGAATTTAGTAATCATTTTAAATCAATGAGATTTTGTAATTACAAAGAAATCCATTAGAACACATATTAATCTACAGTTCATAAATTAATTAGAAACTTTGAGTTTTATCATTTAATTCCAATACCTGCAAAAAGCCCAGAATTATCAATTGGGCCAGGAAACATCCCACGTTCTCCTACACTGTACATGTCCCAGCTGTCGAAACCCACATATTTCTTCCATTGTTTAAACCACCTACTGTCTATCAGGTACCTAAAAGACAAAAGATACAGCAAGTTATTTTTCTGAGGAGTTAAAAACGCTCAATTTTCCTTTCCATAGAGGTCCCATGAAACATGCAAAACTTGCATCATAAAAGGCAGGCAGAAGCCAGTTGCTCGCCACCCCCCCATCAACAAGTCAGAAATCTAGAAGATGCACAATTCTGTAATATTAGCATTTGGTCAACAGTACAAACTTCAATGAGAATTATAAGCTGCCTCTGCATTTCAAACACTAGGAAAAAAGACCATCTATTATCCAGACCGGAAGGTAAGATAATCCACATCTTATTGTACTGCATTCTTTGAGGAAATAAGCCTTAAAATAAATTTGCTGCTTAATATTGTAACCCTCAATGTTTTAACACCAAGACTGAATACATTTTATAAATAGATGGCAAAAAAGGATGTGTTCTGACAACAACCAAGAAGGAGATAGCATTTTGAAGGGAGACCTCAATGATTTGTGCCACCCCTCGAAATCAGCACTGAAAAGAAACCTTTGGAAAGTCTAAATTGAGCTCCAATTGTTGTATCTAGTAAATAATGACTCCAGACCCGTAAAATTTCAGCTATGGAAAGCTTCTCGAGGATGCGGATATAACTATGAAGAGAGGCTAGGACCCTTCTTTTAGAGCTGAGAAAGTTTTGGGGGCAATTCAATAGATTCTTAAGATAATGAAAGAGTTTGAAATAATTATTCACAAAAAAACTCTTTCCATTGGTAGGGGATTGGAGGGCATTAATTCAACCTTGTCACTAAGGGAATGAAAGGAGAGGTTTGGAAGAATGTCTACTCCCAGAGGGTTGTCAGAATATGGAATGATTTGGCAAGGGTAGCTGTTGCAAAAAAGTCGATTGCAGTATTTAAGAGAAGAGAAATAGACAAGCACATGCAGAGGAAGGTTACGGAAAAGAGCAGAGATTTGGGATGCGATGGACGGCTTCTTAAGAGGCGCAAACAACAACACGTAAAAACTAGCCAAATGACCAACTTCTATGTATACTGGTGCAGAAGATCCTAAAACAGTGCAAGTAATATCTGAAGAAAACATCTGATCAATAAATGATTACAAATCAGAGTTGATTACAAAATAGCTACCACATTATGCAAGAATTTTCAGAGCATCAATTGATTTTTATGTGCTCTGTAGCCTCAGTGCTTCCTTCCAGCCATACCCGACACCATAATCAATTTTTGTCAAGATAGCACAGTGACCTTCAAGGTTACTCCTAGTCAATTTCACTCTTTATTTCAAAATAATATCATTTAAATACTACTATATTACCGAAACCAATATTTTATAATGCCAAAGAAGTAAGCTCCTTCCTAATGCAATGCAAAACATTTTTTAAAAAATCCATCAGCTGCTTGACATTTCACTAAAATGATCCGAAGATTCAATTACAGCGCCTGTACTAACTACATGCAGTTTGTTTATGATTCAAACAGAGCAGAAATTAATTGCTTCTTAAAAAATTGTAAATTGTTCAATAATTTCAATTCATGCTGTTATACAAATAAAATTCAAGAGCCAATTCATCAATTACATGAACATGGATCTTACAAGTGAAATGCAAAAGAGATGGTGAATTTTTTGTTAAACTTGTTGTTAAGTTTCATTACTGAAAAGTTGTTAAGGGCAGACATACCGTAACCACTATCTTCCCATCAAAAGCTACAGTATTTTCTTTCAGGGAACTTGCATCATCTCTAGATGGCCTTGACCTTGTTTATGCCTAAGGCAGCAGCTGGAATCAATGTCTGAAGCAGATACTCCTCTCAATTGCAATAGCACTCCATTCGCCCAGAAATACATAGTCACTACACTTTATATTAAATCCTATGAAGCGCTTTGTGGCGTTTCAATGACTAAAGGAGCTACATCAAATGCAAGGATTATTATTTTGATATTTCTAAAATGTAAATTTAATTGGATGGACTTATAAACAGGTTTTTGTTTCTATCACAGTAAAATAAAGTTATACTTAAATATTGTAAGGGGTAAAAACACACATCCTGTTGTGTAATGATTTAGGCAATCACAACCAAAGTAGATAATCAAAAGGTTACAATTATCCAATATCCCCAGGGAAGAAATAAGAACAGGTTTGCACCCTGACTGCTATTCAGGGACACTGACGTGATCACACAACCATGCATGTCTGGCGACAGCAAGACCAAAAGCTAAGCTGTGTTGCATCTAATGGACAAGGTACTAGAAAATTTTCAGGGCTCACATACATGCACTATTTATCATTATCGAGAAGAAAAATAGGGGAAAACTGGGGGAAAAAATGGGCATTAGTGGATCAGAAGATCAGGAGAGTCAGCTTCATAGCTTCATGTGTTCATCAACACAGCACCATTTTAAGGACATCTATAAAAAACAAAATCTAAAAGATGTTTATCTAAAACTAGCTGTACCCGTTGCAGCTTCGCTTGCAACCAAAAGATCCATTGTGGAATGTAGCTTGACACACAGACATTAGACTCAGCTGGAGGACTACAGTGGGAGGACTCCTTTAATATATTTTCTCTCTCTCTTTCTGTGTTCCCCCCACCCCCTCCCTGTCCCTCTCTCTCTCTCCCTGTCTCTCTCTCCCCGTCTCTCCCCCCACAAAACACAGTCACTACACTTTATAACATACTCTCTCAGTCTCTCCCTCTGTCTCTCACTATCTCAGTCGCTCACCATCTCAGTCGATCTATTTGTCTGTCCCACATGGAAGTACTCTAGTTCCCATGACAACCAGAAAAAAGTGCCTTTCATTTGTTGCAGAATATAGATGTATCTCTCTGTACCGTGTGCTTTCCTCTGTCGCTAACTAGTTGCTGAATACGATGAATACCTCATATTTCGGGGGTTAATTAAAGCATTTTTTTAATATGGTTCACCAATGGTAGGAGATCCGCACAACATGCCCAAAATATGCCCATGACAGTGCCAGATGCAAGTCCTTTCCAATGAGGTATAAATCATGTCTCTGCATCAATCAGTTATTGCACGATTGTCGGATACACTGACACACACACACAGACACTTTGTCTTTATTAGTATAAGATGGTCCAAATTTGCAAATATCATACTTTATTCAGTAAATTTTATTTGTTTTTCAATGAATCAATGCATGAAAGATAATAATAATCTTACATTTGATAATAGTATCTTTTACATCGAGGACATCTCAAAGAGAGTCAACAGATATAATAATAATAATCCTTGCATTTGATATAGCGCCTTATCATAACTTTGAGACATCTTAAAGTGCTTCACAGAATATACTACAAAGTGTTTTGATTCAACATTTTGTAGGTGAATGTGGCAGTCAATTTTCACACAGCATTTGTCCCACAATCTGCTGTGAAGCGAATAACCAATTTTATTTGGAAGATTGTCGGCCAGGACACTGAAAGAAACTCCCTCCTCCTTTTGAATAGTGTTGTGGGATCTTTAATGGCCAGCTAAATAGGCAGCTGGGACTTCAGTTTAATACATCATCCAATGGATGACACCTCCCAACAAAATAGCACTCTCCTACAGCATTGCATTAGAGTGTCAGCTTAGAGACTACAAGTTCAAAGTCCCAACTTGGATCTTGAACCTTTGACTCAAGAGGGCATAGTAATACCTATTGAGCCAGGTTAGATACAATATAAAAGATTACAGACTCAAAAATATAAGAGAAAGGGAATTGGAATTCAAAGGAAAATATTAGAGTTCCTGACACTATTGACTTCTACAAACACCCCAAGAACAACACAGATGGCAGAGTCATGGGTTTAAATCCCAAATGATTGTTCTGGCTCACCAGTTCAGATCAATGAGATCACTATACACAATGAAGTGAGCTCTTCCTGCTCTAACCATACTTTGTTTTATTTATTGGTACAGATGCTACTCCTAAAGGGGATAAGGAATGGAAGGGAATGTTTGCTAAATACATAAATGGAGATCTGACAAAAGGGTAATTTGAATACTCATGTACATGCTCAATTTAATAGCAAATTTAACTATCTCAGTTCACTCAAATTAAATTAAAAAGCAAAGAATATAAGGTCTTTCCTCTCAGCTCCATCTTTACGGTTCTGTTTTCATTCTTATCATCCCAATGTCTCTACTTTGTATCCGCCAATGGCTTCTCCTCCCGCCCCCCACGATCATATGAGATATTCCTTTCGACTTAGTCCTCTCTATTTTCATATTGAATGCTCCCCGCTTGGTGATGTTACCCTCAAACATGGGGTTAACTTCCACATGCATGCGGATGATACCCAACTTTCTCTGCCTCCACTCTTTAATTCCATGACCGCTATAATACCATAAATCAAAATATTATCTCATCTGATATAACTAATTTTAATGCCAGCAGTTACTGAGGACATAACTAAATAACATCAGGTTTCAGATGGACCTCAAAATGGCTTGAAATTAAAAGCAAATCCTGCCCCCAGCTTTCACTTTCATACTTCAGTGCTGTGTGTAAGTGTCAAACTGAATGCTTCTAGTTAAGCACATCAACACAGCACTAATATATCTTTGAAGAAATTTGAAAACACGCTACATTTTTCATTCATAGGAGGGAGAAGGCCCTTCAGCCCATTTTATCCCATCTTCGAGAATATTCATCCTACAATCTTACATTATACTCTCGAGTCATTTCTTAAATGAGTCGAATGGGGTAGCTGGATAACTGCCAGCATTTAAAATGGATCACTAAAAGCATTTTTTTAAAAAAGAATTGACACTGACTGGTGTAAAACTGAACCATACAGATCCAGAAGACACCAGGTATTTGATCTCTGAGAGTGGTCTCATTTGGGACTTTGAAGATATATTTCCTACCCCATTTGAGCTATTTATCCAGAGGCAGCAGGCACAGAAAAACATTGGTTTCCCAGGAAATGTAAACTTTTGTGACTCTGCATTTAACTCCAGTTCTGTTTTACGTTTCCTGAGGGTTTCTCCCTTTCAATTTTGTTGAGAGGAG